CCATCATGCAAAAGGCAATAAATATTTTCAATCACATTCAAAATGAAAGAGAAGATACGAGTGAACATCTTACAGCTAGCCGAGGTTGATTCGATAATTAAAAAAAAAAAGAAGCAACCTCCACAACATTCGAATCACCAGAGAAGCAGCGAGTGCAGATACTGCTACCGCTTCAATTTTTCCTACAACGTTGAAAACCATAATTGAAAGAAGAAATTATCCAACAGAATTGCTTTTTAACGTGGACCAAACAGGACTTTTTTGGAAGAGAATGCCAAAGCGCACATTTATCGCGAGAAAAAAAGCGACTCTACTTGTGTATCATGCCAAAACCCCAAGGGCCATGAAAGGAGTTTTAAAATCTAGTCTACCCATCATTTGGGAATTCAATAAGACATCTTGTATCACAAAAGACATTTTTCAAAATTGGTTAACTACACATTTTTGTCCATCTGCAAACCGTTACTGTGAACTAAATAATTTTGAATCAAACGCTCTATTACTGCTGAATAACACACCATGTCATCCCATCAACCTATCTTACTTAAACACTTACGTTCCGGTGAAAATAGTTTTCCTACCACCCAACACTACCTCGTTAATTCAGCCAATGGACCAGCTGGACCGGGGAGTTATTACAAATTTTAAGGCACATTATCTTCGTCGTACATTTCAACAACTTATTAATAAAACAGAAGGTGGAGATAATGAAATATAACATCCTGGATGCCATAGGCAATATCGACGACGTTTGGCAAGAATTAATTAAGAAGTGCATGAATGGAGTGTGGAAGAAGATATGGCCGGAGGTATCCTAGGATTATCAACGAGAAGAGTCTATTGTTGGTCAAATTGTCAATCTAGTCGAAACAGTAGGACTAGGACATGTATACGAGCAGGATATTGAGGAGGTACTGCAGGTTTCTGGTGAAGGCCTTGCCAACAACGACCTTCAGGAACTGGCAGAACAAGGAATTGAAGAAGGCGAAAACAGTGATTCTGAAGACGATGAACCAAAAGAAATTAATACAAATTTTCTTAAAAAAGTTTGGAAACGACAACCGAAATAGTAGATCAAATTGTAGCGAATGGCCCAAATTTTGACAGGAGTGCAAAGGCAAGAAGAAGGAGTTTTGGATGCGATCGCTTGCTACCGACGTTTGCTTAATGAAAGAGAAGAAAGTGACAAATGACTTTAGACGTTTTCTTCACCAAAATATCAACAATACCAGAATATTTGTGCAAATGTTTGTATTATACAGGGTGATTCACATAAGAACCGACACAGAGCAGGAACACGTAGAGCACAATAAATTAAGATGATTTAACGCAACTTATCTATATACTAAGTTGTGCCCCTGAGGAGTTATAGGCCTTCAAAGTTGGAACTTTAATTTTTAAAACATTGAATATCTTCGTAATGCATTAAGCTAAAAAAACCAAATTTGGTATACTTTATGAGTGTACCGAAAGTATTAACTGGTAGCAAGTTGAGACCAATTGAGGCATTCCAAAGGGTTGATTAAGGGTGATGGTCCCCTAAATTTTGACAGATTTTTTTAACCTGTTGGTGGATTTAATGCATTATTACCTCATTTCATGTGGAATTTAATTCTAAAACTTTTTTTACTCTTATTATTTTTTAAAAAACATTGCCGTTTTCATAAAAAACTCAAATAATTAAAGACACGTATTTCGTTAATGCTACTTAAAATCATCGAAAATTCAGCAGTCGGCTGTGAAATTGTATGTCAAACTTGACAAATAGGTTATAAAACCTTGTTGTCAAATAACTTTATAACCTATTTGTCGAGTTTGACGTACAAGTTCATAGTCGACTACTAAATTTTCGCTTCTTAAGTAAAATTACGAAATAAGTGTCTTTAGTTATTTAAGTTTTTTATGAAAACGACAAAGTTTTTTAACCCTTTGTGTCCCGACGGTACTTTAAAGTACCGGTAATTTTAAACACTCATTTTAAACTGTAGTTATCTTTTCGGCGCATTTAGAGCTGTCTGTACTTTCTACTATACAAGTGTATACAAGAAATAATCTGTATAAAAAACGTCGCAATCCGCACTGTAGGATTTTTAGGTACATTTTAAACTTATTCATCCAGATGTGAGGTTAGAAGTTTACTGAAAAGCGGTACTGTTGAATTTTGTTGTTTAAGAAGGTATTTCTTTGATAAATGGTTATTAGGTGTGATTATTATAGATCATTTTAAAAAGAAAACATTGAGCTTAAATTTAAAATAAGTCTCATTCCTTAATTTCAATAAACATAGTTTCTAAGAATTTTTAAGTTAGCATCTTTTTTGACTCTTTTAAATGTAAGTGTTGTTTCAACATTTTTTTTCTTAATATTTTTCCAATCCAACCCAACAATTATTATACATCATTTTAAAGAGAAAGCTTTGAGCTTTAATTTAAAATAAGTTTCATTCCTTAATTTCAATAAATACGGCTTCCAGGAATTTTTAAATTAGCATCTTTTTTGACACTTTTAGGTTATACGAAAATGTTAGTTTTAACTCAATACTCTTTTTCTCAATATTTTTTTAATTCAACCCATCGATTGTTATACATCGATTTAAACAGAAAGCTTCAAGCTTCAATTTAAAATAAGTTTTATTTCTTAATTTCAATAAACACGGTTTCCAGGAATTTTTGAATTAGCATCTTTTGTGACACTTAGACTATGCGAAAATAGGGGGATTGCATATTTTGCTAAAATTTTATTCCAAAGGCCTTTACTGAGTGTATTTTGATAGCGTTTTAATTCTGTCTGATTCTGTCACAAAGTTTCAAAATGTTTGACTTCTTTGGACACAAAGGGTTAAAAAATAATAAGAATAAGAAAAGTTTTAGAATTAAATTGCACATGAAATGAAGTAGTAATTTATTAAATCCGCCAAAAGGTTAAAAAAATCTGTCAAAATTTATGCTACCATCACCCTTAATCAACCCTTTGAAATGCCTCAATTGAGTTCAATTTGCTACCAATTAATATCCTTGGTACACTCATAACGTATACCAAATTTGGTTGTTCTAGCTTAATTTATTACGAAGATATTGAACTTTTTAAAAATTAAAGGTCAACTTTGAAGGCCTATAACTTCTCAGGTGTACAACTTAGTATAGAGGTAAGTTACTTTAAATCATCTTAATTTATTGTCCTCTACATGTCCCTGCTCTGTGTCGGTTCTTATGTGAATCACCCTGTATAAAACATTATAGTTAAGTAGTAGGTGTTCAGCAAATCTTTCCGAGAATTTTGTCAAGTCGCACGGTTTGATCCTCAGCTTGTCAAATGTTGAAGAGGTGGTATTTTAGGGATGAGAAAACCTGAGAGCGACCTTAAGCCCCCTTCGCTGAGGCATAAAACCTCTTCGCTTTCCTTTTGGGACGAAGTTATCAAACTCCTTCGCCTATCTGTGTTCTGGAAGTTCTTTCCAGCGCTAGGCTACCTTTGAGTCCTCCCATGTGGTAATCACCTGTTTTAGGTGGTTGTTTTATAGTCCACAGCCGGGCTTGTTGTCTCTTTCGCCAGCTTGTTCACCATTTCATTGCCCACAATGTTTTTGTGACGTGGAACTCATCATAGGGTAACTTCATTAGCCCTGGCGAGTTTTTTCATATTGTCGGTACATTCTTTGGCCAGTGGGGATTCACACGTGTAGGCCTAAATAGCTTTAGGACGGCCCGTAAAGATGTTATCGATGCTCCTTTTCTGTCCCTTCTCAAGAAGTTTATGGCAAATAAAATCTTACCAATTGATTCAACAGTTATAGTAATTTAATTAGAAGTTACTTAGAAGTTACTTCGGCCATTGACCTTATAATCGATAAGTATGTGTTTATATACACGAATACGACCTTAAAACCGTAGTGTACTTTAATGAACTAAATTACTTGGTATCGGAAACCCATCAAGGACTATGTTTAAGTAAGACAAATCTTTCTTGAAGTAAATAATTTATTTTATATTTTTTAAAATGCTCCATTTTAAAAAGAAAGATTAATTAAAAGTCTCTGAGGCAAAGCTCCAAATATTTTAAGGGTCATAACTTACATAGTTTGTTCTTTGCATTTATAGTTTTAGTTGGAGCTTGTTCGTTTAATAAGTTTTAAAACTTTAGTTTTTAATACTTAAGATTTTTCTTGTGTACAAGTTATGTTACATTTCGTTATAGATTGTCACTCGATTGATGTAAAGTTCGTGAGTTTAAGTAAAGTTTTCAGTTGTATGAATAGTAGACACTTTATATGCGAAACTGGCGTCCTTTGCTGAAATTTACGACCGTTCCAAACGCCACCCAAGCCATTTTTCATGCTGGGTGCAGGTTAAGCGGGTCAACAAGTCAGTGCACCCATTGTGGATCTTTCCTGTTAGTTTGTTTACGAGATTTCCAGAAAATTTATTTAACAAAATTGCCTTTATCAGTTTTGTTTTATTTTACAACAATATTTTGGTGCAGTATTGAAATTTTAATATTTCCTCAGGCAATATTTGGGAAACTTACGACAAATAGTAAAGTTTTACGACATGTCGAAGCTCAATTTTTACGAACCCTCATGAATAGTTTAACAAGTAGGAGTTTTGAGAAGCCGATCGAAGAATTGAATTGTCAGGCAGAAATGGATGACAAAGTTTCCGAATTTCTTAATAAAGTTTTGCGGAAGGTAATCAATTTTTATATCGGTATAAAAATGTAACAACCAATTGTTGGGAACTTTCTAAAGACCGCTTAACGATTTACAGAAACGGCGACGGAGAAATAATTTTTCGTTAATAAAATACAGTGTGTTAATTAATTATCGTATCTAACGTCATCATTGCAAGTATGCAACCAATATCACAGTACTGGTGTTGTAATACGCAAATCGCGTACAAATCGCGTATACTGTGATATTGGTTGCATAGTTGCGATGATGAGATCGAGTACGATAATTAATTAACACACTGTAGATTAATGTTGACATACTAAATATATTTAAAATGTCACTTGTTCCGTACGATATTGATAGCAGCGACAGCGAATTTGATAACAATTCTCAATTGAAACTAAAAAAGAAAAAAACATCTCAACCAGTAAGAATAATAATAGAAAACCCTTCAAGTTCCGAGGATGAAGACGATTCAAGCAGACATAGAAATGAAACGAGGAAATCGAATACACGAAACGACTTATTCGCGATCTTACCATCCCCTAAGTCGAAAAGAACCAGTTTGATCCTGCCACGAGTGCTGCAGATGAAAACCGCCGGGTCTCCAATATATCCGGAAAAACCTCCCTCTGCGGACTTTAAAGAAAAACGAGCGAAAAAGAATCGTAAGCGAGCCCCGGACATCCAGGGATATCAAGGCGCGAGCGGGGATTTTCGGAACATCCCGGAGGGGACGTTTTGTACAGATAATGGTCAGGTCGTGAATTGTGCACCGGACGTCCGAGATCCCGTGGTGTTGAGAAATTCCGATTTCAGGGAACTCTTGAACACCGGGAAGAGCCCAACCGTTCTAATGAACATCGAGGGTGCGGACCTTTTCGAGTACAGGAACCGAGTGAAAGCGCTTACGGATCCGGAACAGGTCGTACAGCTGACTTTAGACCAAGCGGTAAATAGAACGTGTAAAAAGAAAAACCACATTAACTACTTACTGCAAATGGCGAAAACGAACGAGCTGAGTTTAAAGAATAAATGGTCGCTTAATAAATATACCAGGCAACAAACTAAAGCTAAATACGGCTTTTAAGTTGTATGAAATAAATATAAAAAGATTCTGCTACTATACAAATTTTATTAACAACAAATTAACTGATTATTAATTGATTAAAACGGTACATGTTGAATTACCATGGTGCTTTGTAGTCAGCTGGTAAATTGGCTCTGAAGCATTTGTAGGACAAGAAAGCGGTGTCAGCGGCGGTGGGTCCGGTAACGTCGGCGCATTTAAGGGCAACATCACTGACAACTTTGTTATCGGCTAAATCACGTGCAATAACAGCCTTATCGAAGGTACCATCAGCTTTCAAGGAGCCAGTCTTTTGCCAAACGCAAGCGATGAATTCTTTCAATTTTTGGTCATCAGTAATTGATCCAGCGCGAAGAGCCGTGATCAATTTGGTGTCAACTCCGGTGGATTCAACACATTCTTTTCCATAAGCTTTCAATTGCGCTTTCTTGTCTTCAGAGACAGCCTAAAATTTCGAATTAATAAAATGATAAAATAAAATTTAAATTTAAAATAATTTTACTTACGCTGACTGCTGTAACAGCAATAACGACGATTGCAAGAACTAAGAATTTCATCTTGGATGGCTGTAGACTTGGTTTCTAAGAAAACTTGGTGTCTGAATTCGATAGTGGACGTGTGGGAGTTTATATAGGAAGCTAAGACGGATATTAGGACAAAGTTCGGAATAAAAAATTGGTGTCGCCACGTTTTATCAGTAAATTCGACTGTATTTTTATCAAACAAATAGGCTGATAGTAATATTTATTGTTACTTATTTATGAAATAAAAAGAAAACGTCTTTGGTGTTAAAAATTTAATTTCAATCAACTAAAATTTTTTTAAAGTCGAGTTATTTAAGGTAACCATAAAATCGTTGAATAAATCCAATTTAAATCATGTTAAAAATTATAATTATTACAAACATTGATTGCAATAAATTATAATAAACAATTAATCTTGGAAAAAAATTTTTTCTAAATATAATTTAAAATTAGACCCTAATTAATTTTGATTTACTTATTTTTTATTTTATTTTAAAATTTTTATCTAATAGGATGATGATTTTAAAATAACCTTTAACCCAACAAACCGAATAAAGAACGCTTCTTTATCGCATTACTAGGTTATAATAAGTTTGTTTTTGATATTGACTTTTTGTCTACTCATCTTCACTGTTTATAAACGTGACTCTAAATAATTTTATTTTTAGAAGATTTTTTATCATTTATTATTTAAATTTCAGGGTTAAATGGAATCTGATTTACATACGAAGGGTTTAGGGTTAATAAAAATCGCAACACTCTAGCGATTCAGTCCTCCAAGGTCATCTGATTAAAAATTAATCGCGATCTTGATTAATATTGCGGGTCGATATTGTAAATATTTACAAAGCTAACGAGTTGCGTGATTTTGAATTCCGATTCTGCAGGGAGTTGTTGATTTGATATCCGGCGAAATGTTTGAGGTTTATAAAAACAGAAATCAAGTAGAGTTATTTTAACTCAGGGGTTTATTCGTTCAATAGAAATGTTTTGCGGGAAAGTTAATTTACTTTGTCCGCATGAATCGTTACCAACTTTAGATATTACAAAAAATTGTAAATTTGAAATCTTCAAATTCCTGGGATTACTTAATTATTTTTAGAGATATCTGAAAATTATTGGAAATCAAAAGAATTGGTTGGAAATCCCTAGGTAACCTTAGAAAACCTTAAAAGTCTTCTAGAAGATTCGAGAAGATTCTAAGAAGAATTTTTAGAGATAAAAGAAAATGGTTATCAATTCTATCTATAACCTTAGATATCCTTAGCAATTCACTAATATAGTAATAATACTTCGATATTTTTGATAATCTTCATCAAAATTGTTTCTAGAAATACCTGAAAATCATTAGAAATCAAAAGTAATGGTTGGAAATTCCTAAATAATCTTAGAAAACCTTAAACGGTCTTAAAAGTATAGTCATAAATAGAAAGCGGAAATCGTTAAAAACGTTTAGAAATTGTTGGAAATCTCCAGAAATTCTCGGAAAACCATAGAAATTCTCTTAAAATCTTTGGAGACAACAGAAAACGTTTATCAACTCTATATATAACCTTAGATGTCCTTAGCAATTCACTAATAATACTTCGATAGTTTTGACAATCTTCATGAAATTCCTGGAATTATTAATTGTTTCTAAAATCATTAGAAATCAAAAGAAATGATTGGAAATTCCTAGATAATCTTAGAAAACCTTAGAAGGTGTTCAAAATATAAATAGAAAGCGGAAATCGTTAGGAACCTTTAGAAATTGTTAGAAATCTTTAGACGTTTTCGAGAAACGATAAAAATTTTCTTGGAATCTTTAGAAATAACAGTAAATAACAATAATGTTATTTCTTTGAATTTCGTCAATAATACTTTGAAATTTTTGAAAATCTTCTTTAAATTTCTGGAAGTACTTCATTATTTCTAGAAATACCTGAAAATCATTACCTGAAATACCTGAAATGGTAGAAAATCCTTAGATAACCTTAGAATACCACAGGAAATGCATCCAAAGCGAAAATCGTTAAGAAGCTATAGATATTGTTGTAAATCTTTAGAAATTCTTGGGAAATCGTAAAAATTTTCTTGGAATCTTTACAAATAATAGAAAATGTTCATCAATTCTATATATCCCTAGGTATCCTTAGCAATTCCTCTATAATACTTTGAAACTTTTGAAAATCATTAGAAATCAAAGTAACGGTTGGATATCCCTAGATAACCTTAGAAAACTTTAGAAGGTCTTGAGAATATAGTAATGACTAGAAAGGGGAAATCGTTAGGAATCTTTAGATATTCTTGGAAATCTTTAGAAATTTTCTTGAAATCTTATAAATAACAGATAATGTTATTTCTTTGAATTTCATCAATAATACTTTGAAATTCTTGAAAATCTTCTTAAAATTCCTGGAAGTACTTGATTATTTCTAAAAATACCTGAAAATCATTAGAAATCAAAAGAAATGGTAGGAAACCCCTAGATAACCTTAGAATACCTCAGGAAATACATCCAAAGCGAAAATCGTTAAGAAGTTATAGATATTGTTGTAAATCTTTAGAAATACTTGGGATATCATACAAATTTTGTTGGAATCTTTAGAAATAACAGAAAATGTTCATCAATTCTATATATCCCTAGATATCCTTAGCAATTCCCCTATAATACTTTGAAACTTTTAAAAATCTTCTTAAAAATCCTGGTATTACTCAATTATTACTAGAAATACCTGAAAATCTTTAGAAATCAAAGTAATGGTTGGATATCCCCTGATAATCTTAGAAAACTTTAGAAGGTCTTGAGAATATCGTCATAAATAGAAGCGGAAATCGTTAGAAACCTTAAGATATTATTGGAAATCTTTAGACATTATCGCGAAACCATAGAAATTTTCTTGGAATCTTTAGAAATAATCGAAAATTTTCATCAATTCTATATATCCCTAGATATCCTTAGCAATTCCCCTATAATACATTAAATCTTTTGAAAATCTTCTTGAAAATCCTGGTATTACTCAATTATTACTGGAAATACCTGAAAATCATTAGAAATCAAAGTAATGGTTGGATATCTCTAGATAACCTTAGAAAACCGTAGAAGGTCTTGAAAATATAATCATGAATGGAAATGGGAAATCGTTAGGAATCTTTAGGTATTGTTGGAAATCTTTAGAAATTTTCTTGGAATCTTTAGAAATTTTCTTGGAATCTTTAGAAATTTTCTTGGAATCTTTAGAAATAACAGATAATGTTATTTTTTTGAATTTCGTCAATAATACTTTGAAATTCTTGAAAATCTTCTTAAAATTCCTGGATGTACATCATTATTTTTAAAAATACCTGAAAATCATTAGAAAGCAAAACAAATTTGGTGAACATTCCTAGATAACCTTAGAAGGTGTTGAAAATATAGTCAAAAATCGAAAGAGAAAATCGTTAAATAGCTTAAGATATTGTTAGAAATCTTTAGAAACTGTCGGGAAACCATAAAAATTTTCTTGGAATCTTTAAAAATTTCAGAAAATGTTTATCAATTCAATAATAACCTTAGATATCCTTACCGATTCACTAATAATACTACGAAATTTTTTAAATTCTTCTGTAATCTGTGGAACTGTTGAGTTGTTTCTAGAAATACTAAAACATACTAGAAAATATAGAAATCCATGGGAATTGGGAGGAAATCCTTTGACATTTTGATATACTTAAATATTTCTAGAAATTCTTAAATATTTCCAAATATTTGGCATTTCCGATACTGTCGTGGTTTGTGTTCTGACTTTTTCTTTCAGCTTTTTATTGCTAATAATATTTATATAGATATTGTACGATTGTAAACTGCTAGTTCACACCTTCTTGGTTCTTTGGCCATTCTTAGGAANTTTAGAAATTGTTAGAAATCTTTAGACGTTTTCGAGAAACGATAAAAATTTTCTTGGAATCTTTAGAAATAACAGTAAATAACAATAATGTTATTTCTTTGAATTTCGTCAATAATACTTTGAAATTTTTGAAAATCTTCTTTAAATTTCTGGAAGTACTTCATTATTTCTAGAAATACCTGAAAATCATTACCTGAAATACCTGAAATGGTAGAAAATCCTTAGATAACCTTAGAATACCACAGGAAATGCATCCAAAGCGAAAATCGTTAAGAAGCTATAGATATTGTTGTAAATCTTTAGAAATTCTTGGGAAATCGTAAAAATTTTCTTGGAATCTTTACAAATAATAGAAAATGTTCATCAATTCTATATATCCCTAGGTATCCTTAGCAATTCCTCTATAATACTTTGAAACTTTTGAAAATCATTAGAAATCAAAGTAACGGTTGGATATCCCTAGATAACCTTAGAAAACTTTAGAAGGTCTTGAGAATATAGTAATGACTAGAAAGGGGAAATCGTTAGGAATCTTTAGATATTCTTGGAAATCTTTAGAAATTTTCTTGAAATCTTATAAATAACAGATAATGTTATTTCTTTGAATTTCATCAATAATACTTTGAAATTCTTGAAAATCTTCTTAAAATTCCTGGAAGTACTTGATTATTTCTAAAAATACCTGAAAATCATTAGAAATCAAAAGAAATGGTAGGAAACCCCTAGATAACCTTAGAATACCTCAGGAAATACATCCAAAGCGAAAATCGTTAAGAAGTTATAGATATTGTTGTAAATCTTTAGAAATACTTGGGATATCATACAAATTTTGTTGGAATCTTTAGAAATAACAGAAAATGTTCATCAATTCTATATATCCCTAGATATCCTTAGCAATTCCCCTATAATACTTTGAAACTTTTAAAAATCTTCTTAAAAATCCTGGTATTACTCAATTATTACTAGAAATACCTGAAAATCTTTAGAAATCAAAGTAATGGTTGGATATCCCCTGATAATCTTAGAAAACTTTAGAAGGTCTTGAGAATATCGTCATAAATAGAAGCGGAAATCGTTAGAAACCTTTAGATATTATTGGAAATCTTTAGACATTATCGCGAAACCATAGAAATTTTCTTGGAATCTTTAGAAATAATCGAAAATTTTCATCAATTCTATATATCCCTAGATATCCTTAGCAATTCCCCTATAACACATTAAAACTTTTGAAAATCTTCTTGAAAATCCTGGTATTTCGTCAATAATACTTTGAAATTCTTGAAAATCTTCTTAAAATTCCTGGAAATACTTCATTATTTCTAAAAACACCTGAAAATCATTAGAAATTAAAAGAAATGGTAGGAAATCCCTAGATAACCTTAGAATACCTCAGGAAATACATCCAAAGCGAAAATCGTTAAGAAGCTATAGATATTGTTGTAAATCTTTAGAAATTCTTGGGAAATCATAAAAATTTTCTTGGAATCTTTAGAAATAACAGAAAATGTTCATTAATTCTATATATCGTTAGATATCTTTGGCAATTTCCCTATAATACTTTGAAACTTTTGACAATCTTCTTGAAAATCCTGGTATTACTCAATTATTATTAGAAATACCTGAAAATCATTAGAATTAAAAGTAATGGTTGGATATCCCTAGATAACCTTAGAAAACTTTAGAAGGTCTTTAGAATATCGTTATAAATAGAAAGGGGAAATCGTTAGGAACCTTTAGATATTCTTGGAAATCTTTAGAAATTTTCTTGGAATCTTTAGAAATAACAGATAATGTTATTTCTTTGAATTTCGTCAATAATACTTTGAAATTCTTGAAAATCTTCTTTAAATTCCTGGAAGTACTTCATTATTTCTAAAAATACCTGAAAATCATTAGAAATCAAAAGAAATGGTAGGAAATCCCTAGATAACCTTAGAATACCTCAGAAAATATAGGTCTTGAGAATATCGTCATAAATAGAAGCGGAAATCGTTAGAAACCTTTAGATATTATTGGAAATCTTTAGACATTATCGCGAAACCATAGAAATTTTCTTGGAATCTTTAGAAATAACAGAAAATGTTCATCAATTCTATATATCCCTAGATATCCTTAGCAATTCCCCTATAATACTTTGAAACTTTTAAAAAACTTCTTAAAAATCCTGGTATTACTCAATTATTACTAGAAATACCTGAAAAATCATTAGAATTAAAAGTAATGGTTGGATATCCCTAGATAACCTTAGAAAACTTTAGAAGGTCTTGAGAATATCGTCATAAATAGAAGCGGAAATCGTTAGAAACCTTTAGATATTATTGGAAATCTTTAGACATTATCGCGAAACCATAGAAATTTTCTTGGAATCTTTAGAAATAATCGAAAATTTTCATCAATTCTATATATCCCTAGATATCCTTAGCAATTCCCCTATAATACATTAAATCTTTTGAAAATCTTCTTGAAAATCCTGGTATTACTCAATTATTACTGGAAATACCTGAAAATCATTAGAAATCAAAGTAATGGTTGGATATCTCTAGATAACCTTAGAAAACCGTAGAAGGTCTTGAAAATATAATCATGAATGGAAATGGGAAATCGTTAGGAATCTTTAGGTATTGTTGGAAATCTTTAGAAATTTTCTTGGAATCTTTAGAAATTTTCTTGGAATCTTTAGAAATAACAGATAATGTTATTTTTTTGAATTTCATCAATAATACTTTGAAATTCTTGAAAATCTTCTTAAAATTCCTGGATGTACATCATTATTCTTAAAAATACCTGAAAATCATTAGAAAGCAAAACAAATTTGGTGAACATTCCTAGATAACCTTAGAAGGTGTTGAAAATATAGTCAAAAATCGAAAGAGAAAATCGTTAAATAGCTTAAGATATTGTTAGAAATCTTTAGAAACTGTCGGGAAACCATAAAAATTTTCTTGGAATCTTTAAAAATTTCAGAAAATGTTTATCAATTCAATAATAACCTTAGATATCCTTACCGATTCACTAATAATACTACGAAATTTTTTAAATTCTTCTGTAATCTGTGGAACTGTTGAGTTGTTTCTAGAAATACTAAAACATACTAGAAAATATAGAAATCTATGGGAATTGGGAGGAAATCCTTTGACATTTTGATATACTTAAATATTTCTAGAAATTCTTAAATATTTCCAAATATTTGGCATTTCCGATACTGTCGTGGTTTGTGTTCTGACTTTTTCTTTCAGCTTTTTATTGCTAATAATATTTATATAGATATTGTACGATTGTAAACTGCTAGTTCACACCTTCTTGGTTCTTTGGCCATTCTTAGGGACAGCATTTTCTGTAATGAGATTTCCATATTCTCAAACCTTGCAACATTCTCAAATTTAAACAACTTTCTTTGGAGGCTATCTTCGTCTTCAGAAATTAAGACTGCATTATCTGCGAAGCATATGATTCTATCTCCATGTCTCACTTCATTTGCAATTGGTATACCTTTGGAAGTCTTTCCCCGTTGTCATTTAAAAACAATTCAAATCATGTACCTGGATATACTGAGGTATACTTCGCATTTCTGGATATCGATATCTGTATAATATATAATGAGGGAGATTAGAGAAAGGAAATCGATAACAACTGGAAAGACAAAAAGGAATTTGGTAACAGCAAAAAGGAAGTGATCCGAATTTTAGAAACAGAAAATAACGACTTTCCAGAAATGGGAATTCTGGGGAGAGATTGCTAAGGAAAAAAAGATGAAACCATTTGGACAAAGGTTGGTTATAGGAGAAAGGAGTTGATGAGATTGGAAATATAAGAAAAAAACTGGTAACAAAAAAACGATACTTGACTTAACAGAAATCGGGAACATTAGAAGAAAATTGAATAGTAACTAGGAAGGCAAGAAAAACAATAGACAGATAAGACGTACTGTTAATAGCAGGAAGACATTAAACAAAGATTGGAAATAGAAGAAAGAAACTGATAAAAGAAACAAGAAATTGATTAGAAAATTTGGAAAGAGGTTGGTCATAGGAGAAAGGGGTTGAAGAGATTGGAAATACAAGAAAAAGACTGTTAACGAAACTGATCAGAAACTTGAAATAGAAAAAGAGATTGCACAAAGAATGGGAATATTAGAAGAAAATTGAAAAATTACTACAAAGACAAGAAAGAGAATAGGCAGAGAAGAGGAAACCTGTTAATAGCAGGAACATATTGAACAAAGATAGGCAATACAAGAAAACTACTGATAACAGAATGAAGAAATTAATTAGAGACTAGAAATAGAAAAGAGACTGAACACAGAGAGAGAAAGAGAGAGAACACTGGACAGGCGGGGAAAACTGAAAAATAGGGGTTACACAATGACTGGAAACACAAGAAAGAGACTGGTTACTTAGAGAAAGGTTGATTAGAAACTAGAAATAGTAAAAGGAGATTGGATAGAGCGTGGGGACAGATCAAGGGGCTGGAAAGGAGTTACACATGCAAGAGAGAGACTGGACCGAAGAGAAAGAGTGGAAGAAAGATACAAATGTAATAGAGGTACTAAGCAGAAAAGAGCAAAATTGTAATGATGCTGTTTTTTAAGAAAATGGATTGATTCTAGGCGGGATATTGAAAAAGAAACTGAAGAGAGAAGGCGACATTGCAAGGTGACAATAAATAAAGTGCAAAGGAAAGAAAGAGAGCGGATAGATCAGAGGAAAGTTGTAATGGTCATTGAAGAAAGGGTTTATACATGTTGAGAATGGCAATATGAGAAAAAGAATGATAAAAGACTAGAATTAAAAAAAGAGTGGAAAGAAACTAGTAATAGAAGAAAGCGAGGAGAGACTAGATTAGTTTTAGACCAGCCTTCCATTCATTGCAAAGAATTAAATATCATCTTCGTCATATCATGTATTTGGTTAGGTGAAAGGTCACTCATGATACGGTTAACAAATTGCTACAATATCGCATAATTTATATTTTTACCAGAAGCTATCTGAAACCACTTCTACATTTACTATAACATTTTGAAAAAGGCTTTAGGCTTTTTTACAGTACTTGTTATTCTTTTTTCTATTCTCTCGTATTAACTGTTTATTATTATTATATTAAAGAATTCTTCATGTCCAAAACAAGAGAATTACTTTTTTTTTTAATTTTTTGGTCAATGGATAACGGAACACCAACACAACAAACCTGTAATAAACGTTTGCGATCGCTACAAAATCCATTAGGGACTGTTGAAATGAAGACGAAGCGCTAAATGAAGCGTACAAGTTAACATATAAGGAAACTGTTGTTAATAACTGATCGACTAATATACAAATGAACGTTATATTACATAATACAGGAGACCTCGATAACATTAGCCGATTTTACAAGGCAAAATAATTTACGAGGGAAATACCCCTACCTAAACCTTCTGCACTATCCCGACGAATTAAAGACGTTATTGACCAAACGTAACGATCTTGCACTAAATTATCATTATCCGCGTCATAAACCGTGTATTGCAATGACGGCGTTAACCGCACCATTACCTAATGTGAACGTAGATCAAGATGCAAGATGTTTTGCAACGTTGATGATCTAGAAAATAATCAATATTATTTTAATCGATCGTATCAATGCAGAAAAGTCCGCAGGAGAAAGAAGATCAAAAAAAAACTCAAAGCAGTTCTGAAAATCTTTTTTTCTGAAAGATCTTGTACTCATTCTTCGCCATACATCAACACGAGACGTTGAACGAAAAGTACCAGGGGGAATTGAAATTGAGACTGATCACTGGAGAATGAAATGTTAAAAAAGGTAACTTAAAAAAAATGTAAAAAAATTATTTTCTGTGTAAGATTTTAAATGGAATTTGATTTTAAACGATTCATCATTGAGTTTATTATACCTATATTTTCATAAACAACTTTATAATCTGTAAATCTCTAGGTGTAGTTGATTAAACTAACTTTCCAGAGGTGAACTTTGCAATTCTCGTTCAAGTCATTAATTTAATTGCTAACCCCAGCACTTCTGTTTGAAGCAATCATAGCTCTAGTTTTCGAAGGGATGGTTAGATGTGAAAGATTTAAGATTAAAATTTAGTGAATACCAACGTTAATGTAATTGCTACTTTATATTCAGTGGTATTTATTCTTTTTGTCTATATTTTTTTTTTGATCTTCTGGATATTGTATTAAATGATAAATGTAAAAAAGGTATCTTTATAAAAATCACAAATTTATTAAAAAACCATATTTATTTATTCAATCAAATAAAGATCTCTTCATCATAGTAATTGCACAGTTCTAAAATTACCAATTTGGTTTGTAATCAGTTGGAGCGTTGGTTCTGAAGCATTTGTAGGCCAAGTATGCGGTTTCGTCAACGGTAGCTCCATGGGAGTCAGTGCAAAGGAGAGCAGCATCAAGAACTTCTTTACGTTCACCAAAATCTTTCTTGATGGTTTCCTTGTTGAAGGTACCGTCAGCGTTCATTCCTCCAGTCTTAATGAATACGCAACTAATGAACTTCTTCAAATTGTCGTCGTCAGCGAAAACGCCTTTACGAAGATCGGCAACTTTTGGCCTTTCAACACCGCTGGATGTCAAGCATTCTTGGCCGATGGCATCAACTTCAGCTTTCCTTTCAGGAGTAAGGGCCTATATAATAATTAAAAGAAATTAATTTAAAATATTTTCAAAAATCAATTAATTTTTGAGTTGTTGAAAAAATTAAATGAAACTTACCGAAGCGGCAACGACGAGGGCGGCGAAGGCAATGAAGAATTTCATTTTGGTAATAAGAACGGTGCTTGCTTAGTGTACAAGATCGTATGATTTCTGGAGAGGACCTCCTGCATTTTTATACCGACAAATTTCTCCCAAATTTGATAACAAAGTTACAAAGATCATAGTATAAAAGAAATCCATATCAGTTTGTTGACAACGTATCTGCGTCCTAGCACTACAAAACGCATGTTTTGATAAGAATGTTTTATAATAATCTAAACAAAATTGTATAATTTAGATGATAAAGAAGTATAAACAATTTTTTGATTACTTTGATGCATTTGAGGTTAATAAATTTGATTACATTTTTACAAGATAATTTTATGTCTTCAATTTTACATAAATCTTATTATATACAAAAATTAATCTTATTTATATTCAAAAAATTAATTATTAGCTTAAAAAAAGGTCATAGAACGGTGCAATATATGGTAAAGTGACATCAGAAATTACTAAGTTGTGAATATCGTCCCTGTTTGAGTAGACCTAACCCTATTAGCTACCACCTATTCATAAACACGCTATTCACAAGCTAATTAATGAAAATCCGCGAACTAGTTTCGCCTCTTCTAAAATCTTGTTTACTAGATAACGGTGGATGATGGTGGATTTCATCCGCTATATAACGAATCGCTTTGTCCACCTTGTTGTCAATGGAATGCTTTGAACCCGAACTAACTGTCGGTAGTTTCCTTCGTTATCAATTAGGATGGAGTATTCAGAAAACGAAAATGCCTGTGGCATTAATGGCATGGAATGTTTAACTTCAATTAATTTGATACATGTTCAGGTTATAGAAACGTCTTTATATAAACTTAATTTTACGAGGTAATTAAAAAAAATTAAACTTTAGTGAATACGAAAATGAAAAGTCTTGATTAACGTTATGTTAAACCTCGATTAAACCTAGATTAAAGTATCGTTGTTAATTTAACTCGACGTGAAACAAATTGCAGCAAATAAAAATGTGCTCCAAACTTATGGTAGTGTACTTGCGCGGAAGAGAAGGATGTAGTTGTGAAATCAAAAATCATAATTGTCGTCTTGAAGCATTCAGTACAGTTCTACCCGATTGTAAAAGTTATCTGTAAACATCAGTTTCTGCTTTACAACATTTCATTCCGTCATTTATTTCAGCTTTAGAATTCTTTAAATAGTTGTGCTGTACACAAGTTGCATTCGCAGTATTTTTTCTGCACTCTGTTTTAGCAGAGCAGTAACCACGTTTTAAACATGTTGAAGTTATTGGAATTTGGTTTTGAACTTCGGCAGAACTAAAATTACCACTATCAATATTCCGGAGTAATTACGCCAATACATAATGTTGTGTTGAGTCCATTCTCTGTGAATTTAAACTTTATAGATGAATAACCATCGTGTAAATAACCGATTTGTTAAAATTATCACAAAATAGGTCGATTTAAATTAAGCTATCTATATCCAAAGTTGCTTCGTTTCGCTGCTAGTGCACTTCAAAGTTATCAAAATACATTCTTTTATTTTTTATAATTCGAAAAAGCTTAAATCAATTTAAACCATTTTTCAGAAATGAGTTCCTAGGTTCAATTAATATTTTTTTATGGTTTCCGATACAGTATTAGAAACACAGATATGAAAAGTCATATGTTCAGCAGATATTACCCCATTTTTTTTTACTGATGAGGCGACAATTACATTATTATAATTTATGAATAGCCCATTTGGTTCTCAAACTTTTTTGTCTCTTATAAGATATTTGGACATGTTTTTTGCAAATTTTTCAAGATTAAAAGTGAAGAAATAAAGATAGGGCAACAGAAACTTGTTCATCATACCAACCTAACCTTCAGGATTATATAGCTATCATAAAACATTGAAAATATCTTATACAAACAACAAAAAATATATAAAAAAAGTGATGTCCGAATAGCCCGTTGTTGGGGCTTCTTGGACACTAAACTTCGTTTTAGGAACTATCTCTTACTTTGCATTTCAGATGATTAAGTTCCCCTGAAAATGTAACTGAAGCATTAAGGAACGTATTTTTATGTAAAAGACACATTTTTTATTAAATTAAATTTAATTTTATTAAATAAATTTGAACAAAGCTTTATTACAAGTGTTTTAAAAAATCTTCTAAAGTTAATCTTCAATTAATATAAATCGAAATAAAAGAAACAAAAATTAACGTATTTACCAACAATAAACATATTAAAAACCAAAAACCACTGTTCTATAGCACAATTCAAACGTAAATTAATAATAATCATTTTTTCTTCATAAATTTCTTTAATCCTGAACGAAGGAAATCTTTGTCTTGATTGCTATCATCAAAGATTTCTTCGTGTTCCGAGTCTTCGCAGCGAGAGCAGTTGTAAAATGAATTTGTGCTTCCACGGTTACATGCACCACAAACCCAGTGTTTGTATTTCAGGCACTGTATTCAATCTATTTTGTTCCTGTCGTTTTCCGCTTTATGCGGAAGATACCGCAAGTAGATGAGTCAATCTTTTTTACTGTAGCCTTCCTTTTCGAAGATTTTTGTTTGGGTGAGTGAGGAAGAAGGTTGATTTTCTTTCTCAGCTGTTGGAACCTTTCTGCCTCGCTTCCTTTTCTGCTTATCGCCACTCCCATGGTGCTCCTGCAACAGTTCTAGCAAACTTGCGTCTAAAACTCTTCCATGTGTGTCGCTGCTTTCGCTCTCATTTAAACCGTCGGCAATCCTTTTCAAAACCTCATTTGGATTATGAGGATGCAAGCCAGTTGCTCTAAAACCTGATTTGTAGCTTTTGTTGCTCTACCATATCGCTGATTGCTGCCCAGAGTCTATTTAGCAATACAGGGAATTGTTCTGATTGTATCTGATTTCTTTTCTCCATTGATCCAGTATTTTTCTCCACTTTTTCTTCATAGGTGCGAATGCCGCAACATCTAATTTTTGCCTTAGATGGGTGGCATTTGCTGGAAATGGCGTCAAATAAATGTTATTCTTCTTGCATGCCTTGATCACTTTTGGAGAGAAGTGGCTTGCCAAATTGTCTCCCGCCAATACAATTCTATCTTCTGAGTCGCGAGTGTCTTCAACATGCGGTAACAAGATTTCAAAAAACCATTTTCGAAAAGGCTCATGTCAAACCATCCACTTGGACTGCTGGCATATTTTGAACCAGCTGATCCACCGTTAGTCCAGTTGTCATATATGTTTTGTGCTTTATATACCACCATAAGAGGAAGTATATCTCCATTTGAGTTTCCACAAACCATAATGCTGATCCAAGCCGGAGAATGTTCTTGCACTCTTTCCACTCTTTTTTTGTTTCTTGGCACTATGACTTTTTTAGCACCAGGATCATCAGTGACATTCGTCTCATCATAATTATATAGGTTTACACTTTTCGCTAAAGAAAGGGCAAGGTTGTTAAAAAATGTTGTAATGTCGTCGCGGTTAACTGACGACCTGGACCGCTTGATGTTTGACGCTATTCTGATGGGCAGGTTGTTTATAGCAATAAAAGAATTGATGAAATCTGGACCTGGACTGTTGTTCTTGAAGACCTTGCTTCCCTTATTTATCTAGGTATTCTTTCACCACATCTCGAATATCGGCCTTTGTCATGGGGAACCCCAAATTCGCAACAACAGCCAAAGTTTCAGAATACAACAGCTCCTCAGACTTGCTTAAGACAGTCAGATGTCCAACGGGTCTAGAATTCCTTCCAAGCATCTTCCGTACTAATGTTGTCTGAGGCACTTTGAATGTTTCTATGGCCTTTTTACTTGACATCCCTTTCCGAACTGCATCCATAATAGCCTTTTTCAAGTCTTTTACTTTGTAATTCATGTAGGCGTTTGACCTATTATAACTAGTAGCCAATCTTTTTACCGTTGATATCTTAATGCCCAACTCCATGCCGGCGAGGCATACAAGGCTGCTCACCCATCCCAACCTCCCTCTTATCTTTCTCTGGAACCGCTCATCAGGCATTTTTTCAGAGTTTTTGGTCCCCTTTCGTCTTTCCTTCCCTTCTCAGCCAGCCTGTACCTGCTGTCCCCCACACATCAGCAACATGACTCGTATCGTGTTTACTTTTTATCTTTTGTTACATTTACACCTGGGACCGTTCCCGCCTCTTGTTTCTATCCGCGCTCCCCCATCAATTATTCGCAAGGCAAAGTATAATGTTAATTTTCAATCTATTAAAAATGCTAAGTCCATACCTGGAACGGGCAAGAACTCCCCCCTTCTAAATCGTTCTCTGAAAGCAAATTATTTATCGTCTCCACATGCTCTTCTCCGATTAGGTTGGTCCTCATCATTCTTTCCCGTTCTTTCTCATCACCGACTTCAACTTTGAAGCTTTCTTGAACCCAACCCAACCCAACCCAATATCAACACTGCTTTTCCTCACACTTTTGGAAAGATTCCTTTTTCGAGGTACCTATTAAAAACTTTGAGAAGTAACCCCAGGTAAGCCTTTACATGTGCATTCCTTTCAAACTTCGTTTCTTACTGCATCTTCTTCAATTTCTTCATATCCGTTTAGGCTTTTTTAGTACGATTTCGTCGTTTTTAATTGGAAAAACTCAAGCAACCCAACCCAACTCGATCAAATTCAACACACTTCATTAACGAGGCTGATTTATTTGGAAGTCAAATTTTATTGCGTTTTGACACCACAAGATAAAGATTTTTCATGTGAAGATGTGTTTGTAGTATACAGATCGGAGTTCTTAACAATATAGATTGAGAGCTGTAAAAGAAAAACGATTCGAAAACACTCAAATTTAGTTAAAAGTACCAGAAAGTTCTTTGAAAGGAGAATATGTTTTGAAATCTTTTTTGATGAACTAATTTCTATGGACTGTAAGAAATAGATACTGAACTTAAATATACCGAGGAGGAAATAAAACGATATATTGTTTGTACTGTTTTAAAATGTTCAACTTATAGCAGAGCTCAACGCAATTTTTGAAAAAATTAAACTTGAAGCAAACAAAATTTAATCTTTAGATGTAATATTTCTTTATTTTATATTTACTTTTATTTTTATATCACACTAACTAAAATTATTTATGAACTAAATTTCTTCGTTATCTCATAAAAGCATTTATAATTCAAAAAAGCTGTATCATCCACATCACTTCCACGAATATCAGCACAAAGTAAAGCAGCGTTTTGAGCAACGAGATTTTTCTCAAAATTTGCTTTTATTATTGTTTTCTTTAAAGTACCATCATCATTGATTGTGCCCGTTTCTGTGAGAATGCATTTCAAAAAGTTTTTAAATTTTGGATCTTCTGCAAAAATACCTTCACGAGCTTCATCGACTTTTATCTTGTCAACTCCACTAGAAGTAATACATTCACTTTCAAGCGATGAATATTCGGCGAATACCACCTATAAAATAGCTATTTCATTTAAGAAAATAGGTGGTAATTAAAAGAAACTCACCGAGATGAAAATGTTTGCAAGAAGTATTGATTTCATCTTGTTTGTTGGTTTTGATTTTAATGGAACCTTTTCAATCTTATATATAGTGATGATAACGTTTTAAAAAAATGTTTAAAATTGCATAAACAAGATATAAATGAAATAAATAAAATGGGTTGTTGATTAAAACAAAATAATAAATGCAAGGAAGTTATTTATTTGTAAGATTTATATAAAATCATTTAATGTGAGACCATTTTGAAATCGGCCGGTAAATGATCCCACCAACATTTGAAAACGGTGAAAGCGGTTTCAGGGCCGGTACTTCCATGTTTATCGATACATTTATCCATAGCGGTTTTAGCAACATCGTTTTTGGACATGGTGGTTTCAACGTGCGCCTTATCTACTGTTCCATCATCGTGTTGCCATCCCATTTTCTTGAAAACGCAAAATAGATATTCTTTAATTTTATCGTCGTTTTCATCGAAATGTCGTTTTCTAAGTTCGGCTAATTTATCCGCATCTAGATGGGTGCTATCTTGGCATTCTTTGCTATGGGTTTTAATGGTGGTGAATTCGGCCTCGGTGTACAACTAAAATGGAAAAGAAATGTTTAGGTTACCTTTTTAGGATTTAAAATTTAACTTACGGCTGCAGACGCAACTGCAAAAACAGCAAAGCAAAGGATGAGATACTTCATTATTGGACAGTTTACTATTTGTGAACTGAAGAGTATTCAATTCGGATCCTTTTATACTATGAACATTTTTGTTAAATTAATTTAAAAAAAATTAGTTAGATAATATTTGTTTATGTGTTTATTATTTAATAGGATCCGATTCGATAAGTAATTGCCAATTAACATTTTGTTATCAAAATTAAATAAAAACAAAAATCGAATCAAAAATGCTGTGATTTATTATGATTATTTCAAAACATTTATCGAATTACGTAAATAAATTTTGTTCCAGATTATTCCTCAAGATTACTTCTTTAAATCATTAAAAAATCTTCACGAATAATTAACTTTAAAAATTAAGACCTTGATCTAAATCCATTATTAAAAACCCATTGTTATTTTTTAATCAAACGAATCGAAATAAAACACAAACACCAGAAGAATCTTTAAAAGACGTTCAGTCAAGTTGAATCATTAATATGGACAAAATAACTAAACAAAAATGAAGATCGCAATTCTAATATCAAGTTTTTACATTATTGCATCTTTATCTCAAGAGGTAATAATTAAAACTAACACAAATCAAAAAAAATATTTTAAAAAAATTTTAGACGAGTGATCATTACAAAGCGGTTCTCGAAGCAGTACACGGCGCGATTGAAAAGTGTGAAGAGGAAAGTGGGGTTTCAAAAGAAACCATTGAAAAGCTTAAAAATAAAATTTTCGAAGATGTCCCTAACGCAGGTGATTATCTTTATTGTGTTTTCCATTCGATCGGTTGGGTTGATGAAGATGGAACGGTAAATCCGGAAATGGCAACCGGTTTCGTTGCGCATCACGAAGATCGACTCGATTCAGTTATAAAATGTCTTAATACCGCCGGGGATACCCCGCAAGAAACCGTTTTTGAAGCTTATAAATGTTACGCGACAAATCTTCCTAAAGATGTTAGCACTCACGACGAACTTAGCACCGTGCAAAAGAAAGAACTTCTTTAAGACGACAATTATCAAATTATGTTTTAAAAATTGATATATACTGTATTAAAAATATTTTGTGCTTAGTTTTAATAATTTAAGTATAACTATTATATTTTTAAAAATGAAAATTTTATTTTATTTTTATAAACATTTTTTAATCTTTTTAACAATCATATCTTATTACATCTGTCTTCTTTCCAAATTATTCATGCTTTAAAATTAAGCTCCAGGATTCATGTCATCACATAGGAGTTATTTTGGGGTCTACCATCTTTCACTATCCTTGGTAGTCTTGAGGTATCTCACAATACCTAGATATCGCTAATCTCTTAGCGTCTTCATCTTTCCTATTCTGAGGATTCTTTCTGTCTTATATATGGGGATATTGCTTTCTATGGACGTATATTAGTTTTGTCATATTGTATGTTGACTTATAACTTCTTCTTGGAGTTTCCTGCTGCTGGTAATATTGACGCCATGATATTTAAATCTCACCACCTGCTCATGTGCGCGGTTCCCCTGCTATTGTTACAGGTGAATTTTGTTGCTGTTTCTTCTATTTGATACTGCATCTTTTGAATGTTACCTTCATCCGCCGAAAACAAGCCAGCATCGTCCGCATAACAAAGTATTGTTAGTTTTCCAACTCTTTTCACATCCGCTATTATTTCGTTCCAACTTCTTAATCATTAGGTCAAGACCAAATAATTGTATACGTTTTTTCTACTACCTGATTTCTTATACGTTGTATTTTGCTGGTTATTTTTATCATTACCAGGTTGTTGTTACTAGAACTTCTTATTATTGATAATGAAATTTAACCCAAATCCTAAAAATTTGAAAAACATTCTACTTACTATGAATATGCAGCCCAAACTCATTGGTATTGCTATTTGCTTCAGCTGATTTTGTTTTGCACAAGTTTTGATGTCTCTATTTAGAAGCCGAAGCAGGTCTGCTGCTGAGGCACTAGCAGTAGAACCCGAGGAAACTGCATTGTTGATGATAAAGGTAATAATAATAATAATAACTTTTATTAGTGCTCTATGCCCAAGGCTTACACACGTAATTTTAAACAGAATATACAACAAAATACAGACGCAGGAGCTGAGAAGAAAATACAATAAAAATACATTCATACAATGACAATATCACTCCTTAAAAACTCCTCGACTGAGTAGAACGCATCCGTCATCAGGAAATTCTTCATAACAGTTTTAAATTGCTTGTGTTGTCGTGCTCTAATAGATTGCGGTAACTTATTATACAAAATCTGACCAGTATACAAATGACCTTTCTGCGTTCCACTCAACCGACAAAAATCTACGCACATGTTCGTATGGTTTCTGGTAAAGTAACTGTGCACGTCGGCGTGCGTCTTATACTGTTCAACATTACTATGAATATACAGCAAACATTTCAGAATAAACAATGATGGAAGCGTTAGAATATTCAAGGATTCAAAGGCGAGGCAACAATCTTCCCTATAACTAAGTTTTGCCAACACTCTCACAGCTCTGCGTTGTAAACCAAACATATAATTACTTGATGGACTCCCACCTCAGACAATAATACCATAGTCAATCATTGAGTGTATCAGCGCATAATACGCTGTTTTGGCCACCTCGACAGATACCGAGCTCATTAGTCTACGTAGTAGAAAAATGTTTCTTGAGATCTTTTTATCAATTTCAGCCACATGCACATCAAATTTCAGATCTCTGGAGCTCACCGTTATGCCCAGCAATCTAGCAGGGGGGAAATCACCCACACAGTCCTGTTTTAGGGTGAAAAGTGTCTCAACCGTTTTGTCTTTATTCAAACATAGTTCATTAGCTACACACCAGTCGTTCGCAGCAGTCAACAGTTTGTTTGAGGAAGACATTACCTCCTCGTAGTTTAACCCGGAGACAAGCAATGTGGCATCATCAGCGTACAACAAACACTTTACACCCTCTCCCAGGTAAACAGGAAAATCATTAAAGTACAGGAGGAACAAAAGGGGCCCCAAAATAGATCCCCGAGGGACACCCCTCGAGATTGGAAGTTTTCCAGATACTTTGTCTCCACATTTAACCACTTGAAACCTATCGGACAGGTATGATTCGATAAGAGCAACACTATTTAAATCAAAGTGAAAAACAGACTTCAGCTTCAGGAGAAGAATACGGTGCGACACACTATCAAAAGCACGAGACAAATCAAGAAATAGAGCAGCACAGTACTCCCGATCTTCATACGTACTGTGACAGACATTCATAAAATTAACAATCGCATCCCCGGTGCTCCTACCAGGTCGAAAGCCGAACTGATTCTCGAAAAGCACATCATACAATTCCACGTGTGCCACTGTCCTCAGCAAAATTAACAAATATATTGTCAAGACAGTTTTTGCCCCTGGTGGGTCCGGAGATAGATGGTGAAAACCCGAAAGAAGAAAAAATATTACACAGTTCAACAGCATTTGACTCTCCGCTACCAAATCCGACATTGAAGTCACCCAGGACCACAACATGCTTATGGTTCGCAAGAGTGCCCAGAACACGCTCCATAATGTCCTTAACCTATACACGCATACAATCACAACACGAGAGACCTCGCAACGCAGTGCCGCCAATTCACAATCCATCTCAACCGACAAGTCATTTATGTCACCCAACAAACTACATAGGTAAGATTATGTATCTTGGAAAAGCTTGAAAAAATTCTAGTTCAATAAAAAAGTAAAATATAGGTGGTTCCATTTAAAAAAAAACCTAAGTTGTGTTTATAACTCAAAAACTGTGATGACTAGAAAAGTTCTACGTACACCATTGGATTCTAAGTGAAAAAGTCAATTAGAACACGTTTTTAATTTTTTATTAAGTATCCGGATAGCCGAGATACAGGGGGTGTCTGAAAATCGTATATTTTGAAACACTCCCTATATATCAAAAACGAAGAGGGCTATGAAAATTTGGTTTGCGGCATTGTAAATTTCAGCTTCGCGAAAACCGCAACTTTCTATCTTTAGTAATAACTGAGAATCCACCAAAATTGGAACACCCTGTACATTCTATTATGTAACTTAGAAGCCGAAGCAGTTCTGCTGCTGAGGCAGTAGCAGTAAAACCCGGGACAACTACGTTGCCGAGGCAGTAAAGTGAACTAAATTTTCAAGATGTTATTTCAGTGAGTAACCGAAGCAGCTCTGCTGCTGAAGCAGTAATGTGAGTATTAAAGAAATGAAACTGTGAAGATTTATTTTCAAAGCATTCATATCATTCAAGAGCCGATGTATTTGCCAAGGCAGTGAAGTGAACTCAAGTTATAAGAAAGATTTAATCATTTTGTTTGTATTTAATGGGTGATTTAGAAGCCGAAGCAGCTCTGCTGCTGGGGCAGTAGCAGTAGAACCCGAGGCAATCGCATTGCAGATAAAATGAAACAAATTTAATTGTGAAGAAATTCGATTACGTTGTTTAGAAGCCGATGCAGCTTAGCTGCTAAGACTGTAGCAATACATTCTGAGGGAACCGCGTTGTCGAGGCAGCGAATTGAAATTAATTGTCAAGATATTATTTTAATGCATTCATGTCATCTAAAAGCTGATACAGTGAATAACCGAAGCAGCTTTGCTGTTAAGGCAGTAGTGTGAATACTAAAGAAACGAAATTGTGATGATTCATGTCATTCAAGAGTCGAGGCAATGGTATTTCCCTAGCAGTAGAACCCGAGGCAATCGCATTGCAGATAAAATGAAACAAATTTAATTGTGAAGAAATTCGATTACGTTGTTTAGAAGCCGATGCAGCTTAGCTGCTAAGACTGTAGCAATACATTCTGAGGGAACCGCGTTATCGAGGCAGCGAATTGAAATTAATTGTCAAGATATTATTTTAATGCATTCATGTAATCTAAAAGCCGATACAGTGAATAACCGAAGCAGCTTTGCTGTTAAGGCAGTAGTGTGAATACTAAAGAAACGAAATTGTGAAGATTCATGTCATTCAAGAGTCAAGGCAATGGCATTTCCAAAACAGTGAAGTGAGCTCAATTATTAAGAGAGATTTAAACATTTTTTTATGATCGATTGGGTTATTAGAAGATGAGGCAGTAGCAATAGAACACGAGGCAATCGCATTGCAGATGAATTACAATGATATCATCTAGAAGCTGATGCAACGGCGTTACATAGGTAGTGAATAACCAAAGTAACTTTGCTGCTAAGGCAGTAACGTGACTACTTCTCGAAATAATTGTCTTTTAATAATTTTAACTAGTTTCGTTCTTGCCAGATATTATGCAGATGTCTCAAATCGATTGGAACCATAAATTATTTGTATTTCTTGCTACTTTTGCAACAGTTTCAAAATATTCCTTCAAAATATGTAACATGTGACATCGAAATGTTTTAAGCTAATTTAAGCATAACTCGACAAGGAAACTATTTTTTAAAGTATTTCATCTTTTGAAGTCTCCATATCTTAGTTTACCCTTTCTATATAACTTTGGTTATAAAATTAACCTTGGTTAGTTTTTTTCATTGAAATTGTTACTTCATAAAAAAGGCTATAAAAATTTATTAATTAAAAATGTTATTGTTTTGCGTTTTATTTTGTATTAAATTCCAATTTAAATTGGATAACATTAATACTACTATGTGCTTTTACTTGATACTTTTAATAATAATTCTTCCCGTTTTTTGCTTAAATAATGAAAAAGTAAGAAATTTTCTAATTTAATAAACACGAAGTTAACATCTTTTTTGTAGGAAATTAAACTTACGGAACTTCGAAAAGCATCTAAAAAGTGCCGAATAGAGACTCGTAATAATTCAAGTATGTACCCATATTGTTTATTAAAAACTTTTGGGTTGATTACTAACGATGGCAGTATTAGTGTTGTTACTATAGATGCTTATCTTCAAAAAGTTAACGATTGTCGTCGAAGATTAGGTATATATAATTACTTGTGTACTTTGCAAAGATTGAAACGTTAACAATTCGATAATTTAAAATAAAAGGTTTATTTATAATATGAGTATTTATTAATTAATCTTTAGAGGTAAAAATATTTTAAAAAAGTTAATACAAAAAATATAAATTAATAATCATCGTTTAGTTAACATTTACGTATAAATAGAATCTTCCTTCTCAATAATCGCATCACAACCAACCTTTGACATCTGGAGGAAGACCTTGTATGTAACATTTCGCGATTAAATAAGTGGTGGCTGCTGGAGAATCTCCTTTTTCATCGATACATTTATCCAACGTAGCCCCAGCCAAAGCGTGTTGTCCGAAAAACTTCCTCAAGTTTCCTTTATTTATTGTGCCGTCCTCTTCAATAAACCGAAACTTTTTGTAAATACATAAAATGTACTCCTTGGCAGTTTGGTCTTCATCGAAAATTCGGTTTTTCATATCTTCAATTTTCTCCGGTTTAATTTTCGTTACTTCTACGCAACCATTCAAAATCGCGTTTGTAGTTTCAATTTGTTCCTTTGTATAAAGCTATAAAGCGGGGGGAAATAAGTTTTGGGTTACAATTAAGTTTCGAAATTGAAAGGAAACTTACAATTTCCGCTGTTACTATGACGAAAAGAAACGTAAACACTAGAAACTTCATCGTTACTTTTCTTCTGTTGATGTGTGTTATTAAAGTTACTAAAGAATACTAACTGATCTTTGAACGTCCCACTGTATATACTGTATTTATTATCAATTTATACTTACATCCGTAGATTAAACAATACTAATATTAGAATCTGGTTGAAAACAACAAAGGAGATTGTGTACATGATTTAAATTCGTATTTGTTTTACTAGATATAATTAACTTTCAATACATATTGATCGAAAATTGACGTAATTCTAATACAAATTTAAATAATTATTAACTCTATGAAGAATAATCCATATATTAAATTTTAATTATTTACTATAATTTTATGCGTATTTAATCTGAAACGACATTAATTAACAAATCTCATTAATCAATGAAAATGCTATAAAGTTGTTAATTAAAAACATTACTATTTAATTTCCCGTTTAAATCAGTATTGACAAACCTTTGGTCAGCGGAAAGTTTAGGATTATTTTAAACAGACTGATTATGTATTACTTTGTGGTACTTTTAATAATTGCTCCCGTTTTAAGTCAAAATAAAGGCGTAAGTAATTTAATTCTAACATAAATATAAAAAAAGTTTAAACGGTCACAATTTTTCTATAGCATTTGAAGCCTGAAGAACTTAAAGCAGCGCAATCATATTGCCTGAAACAATCTGCGGGGGATCTAACTAAATATCCACACTGTTTTTTAAAAGTATTTGGAATGATGACACACGATGGTGGGCTCAGTCTCAATAGGGTAAATGCTTACCAACGAAAAGTAAATGATTGTCGTAGAAGAACAGGAAATAGTAACATGTGTCATTTGGTAACACTGAATTAAGCGTGAAAAAAAATTATATGTACTAAATAAATGTTTAGATCTATTAATTCTTTTTATAACCCAACAATTCTATCACATTTCTAATAGATAAAAATAACTAAATGAAATGAGAACAATTTAAAAAGGGATTAAGACGGTTTCAATGAAATTTCTAATCATTCTTTCGCATTAAAAATGAATTACATCAATTTTCTGATAATTTCAAACGATTTTATTCGCTGTCTGATACTTGGGAATAATTATAATAGATTTCTGTAAAAATAGAATAATTTTATACAATTTTGAGAATCACAATGATATTTCTGACAACTTTTACTGATTTCTGATAATAACATCAAATTTTTGATATTTTCGAATAAGGTTTCTGATTGTTGATAATAATTTTATTACAATCCTAAAGAAACTGAACAATTCGTGATACACTTTTGAAGAATTTAATGGAATTTACTATAAAACAATTGTAAACGAATAGAAAATAATAAACTTCTGATTATTTCGAACATTTTTATCAGATTTCTGATCATTTGTAATATTAACATATAACAGTACTTAAGAGAATTAAAATCATTTTAAAGATTTTCTGGCACATTTTAGTTCGAAAAAATTGTATCAAGTTTCGGTTAATTTCTTCCAAACATCTGATAAATTTGATTATTTTGAACGATTTCTGATTATTTTTGACAGATTTTCAACGATTTTGAACTATTTCTGACGTTTTTAATGTAATAACTGATAATTGTGAAAAATCCCCAACATTTACTCCGAAAATTGATCTTATTTCTGATTATTCCGAACGATGATATCATATCATTGGCAAATAGAGACCCGTTGCCAATAGAACTGAGATGATTTTACCCAAATATTTTGTAATGTTTCGGGTTCCAAATAAATTTATAGTTTTCTGATAGTTCCGTTGATTTCTGTTAGATTTATGACAGAATAGATTAATATCCATTAGAATTGAGATCATTTTAATGATATTTTTGACAATTTGTATCAAATTCTAAAAATTGTACTACATTTCTGATATTTTCAAACCATTCCCAACCATTTCTTTCAAAGATCTGATAAGTTTGATTATTTTATACCATTTATGATTATAATTGTTAGGTTTCCAATGAAATATATTTCATTTTGAGGTGTGTCTAACGATTTTTACCTGATTACTGATAACTTTGAAAGATCTGCAACTCATTTTCCATAAAAAATTATCAGATTTCTGATGATTCCTAACGATTTTATCATATCAATGAGAAATAGAATATCATTCTTAATATAACTGACAATGAGATGATTTTACTTAAATATTTTGTAACGTTTCGGATTCCACTCAAATTTATAGTTTTCTGATAATTCCGTGATTTCTGTTAGATCTCTGATAATTGAGAACCCTTTACTTAATTTTTTGACGGAATAGAATAATACCCATTAGAATTGAGATCATTTTAATGATACTTCTGACAATTTATACAAAATTCTAAAAATTGTACAAAATTTCTGATTGTAGTTGTGAGATTTCGAACGAAGTATATTTCATTTTGAAGTGTGTTTTCTGTTTTTCTGTTAATTGATCATTTTGAATGATCTACAACTCATTTTCCCTAAAAATTTATCATACTTCTGATTCATTTTGACGCGTGTCTAACGATGTTTACCTGATAACTAATAACTTTGAAAGACCAGCATTTCCTTAAACTTTTTCACACTCATTTTCCTTAAAAAATTATCAGATTTGTGATTATTCCGAACAATTTTATCGTATCAATGAATAGAAAACCATTCGTAATAGAACTGAGGTGGTTTTACCTAAATATTTTGTAATGTTTCGAATTCTAAACAAATTTATAGTTGTCTGATAATTTTGTTCATTTATATCAGATCTCTGATAATTAAGAACGCTTTACTTAAATTTTTCACTTTTTTCTTGATAATACTCATTGGAATTGAGATCATTTTAATGATACTTATGACAATTTATATAAAATTCTACAAAATATCTGATATTTTCAAACCATCCCCAACCATTTCTTTCAAAGATCTGATAAGTCTGATTGTTTTAAACGATTTTTATGTTTGTAGTTGAGATTAACAAACTATATTTCTTTTTAAAGTGTTTCCAACGATTCCCACCTGATAACTGATCATTTTGAATGATCTACAACTCATTTTCCCTAAAAATTTATCATATTTCTGATTATTCCGAACGATTTTATCATATCAATGAGAAATTGAACCATTCCTAATACACCTGAGATGATTTTACCTAAGCATATTGTAATGTTTCGGATTCCAAATAAGTTTATAGTTTTCTGATAATGTTCTTTTCTGTCAGATTTCTGATAATCGAGAACGCTTTACTCAAATTTTTGACTCATTAGAATAATATCCATTAGAATTAAGATCATTTTAATGATACTTCTGACAATTTGGATCAAATTCTAAAAATTGTACAAAATTTTTGATAGTTTCAAACCATTCTCAACCATTTCTATCAAAGATCTGATAAGTCTGAATGTTTTAAACGACTTATGATTGTAGTTGTCAGATTTCAAACAAATTATATTTCATTTTGAAGTGTGTATAACTGATAATTTTGAAAGATCTGCAACGATTTTATCATATCAATGAGAAATTGAACCATTCCTAATACACCTGAGATGATTTTACCTACGTATTTTGTAATGTTTCGGATTCCAAATAAGTTTATAGTTTTCTGATAAATCTGTTCTTTTCTGTAAATCTCTGATAATCGAGAACGCTTTACTTAAGTTTTTAACTGAATAGAATAATATCCATTAGAATTGAGATCATTTTAATGATACTTCTGACAATTTATATAAAATTTTAAAAATTGTACAAATTTTCTGATATTTTCAAACCATCCCCAACGATATTTTTCTGATAAGATCTGATAAGTCTGATTATTTTAAACGATTTATGATTGTAGTTCTAAGATTTCCAACGTATTACATTTCATTTTGAAGTGTGTTCAACGATTCCATGATAACTGATCATTTTGAACGATCTGCAACTCATTTTTTCCAAAAATTTATCAGATATCTGATTATTCCGAACGATCTTATCATATTATTGCGGATAGAGAATCATTTCGAATAGAACGAAGACGAACTTGCCGAAATATGTTGCTATGTTTTGGGTTCCAAATAAATTTCTCTATTTCTGATAATTTCCATTCATTTCTGTCAGATCTCTGATAATTTAGAACGATTTTCTTAGATTTTTGACAGAATACAATAATATCCAAGAGAATCGAGATTGTTTTAATTTTACTTCTAATTGCACAAAATTTTTAATATTTTCTAACAATTTCTAACCATTTCTTTCAAGCATCTGATAAGTCTCATTCTTTTAAATGATTTCTGATTGGGGTTCAAATTTCCAACGAATTCTGTTAGATTTTGAACTATTTCTAACAATTTTAATCAGACAGCTGATAATTTTGAATGAACCCCACCTTATTTCTCCTGAAAATGGATCAGATTTCTGATTAATCCAAACGATTAACTCAACTTTCTGAGAATAGAGAATAGTTTCGAAGAGAACTAAGATGATTCTACCGAAATATTTTGTTGTATTTCGTGTTCCAAATAAATTTCAAAATTTCTGATAATTCAATCTAAATCTAACAAATCTAACAGATTAGATTTTAAACTACTTGTAACGATTTATTCTAATCTTATTTTTCCTGAAAACTGTTTCCAATTACTCTGAACGGTTTTATCAGATTTCTCAGAATAGAGACTAATTTCGTATAGAACTATGATGATTAATATGAACTTAATTGATGTAGATAATGAAAATAATGTATTACAATTTAATTAATTTTGTTTAATTAAAACAAACCATTAAACATTTTTAGAAAGTTGATAATAATTATTTTTTTATAATATTACACTGGCGTCTTCATTTTCTGGCAACCCTTGCAAATAGCATTTCGCTATTACAAAAGCAGTTTCCGGTCCATTTGCACCTCGTTTGTCAAGGCATGTGATAGCAGCAGTTTTAGCACTATCTTTTAAGCTTTCACTTAACTTTATGAAAGCTTCTTTATCTACGGAACCGTCTTCTTTCATAATACCCAATCCCTTATAAAAACAGAACATAAAATGTTTTAACACGTCATCGTTAGAATATTTTCTTTTCGCAAAATCTTGTAGCATTGGAGTTGTAGTATTTGTAGCTTCCTGGCATATCTTGACAAAGTTTTTCATAAAAACTTGTTGTTCTGTAGTATAGAGCTGTTACGTGTAATAATTAATAAATAAAATAGTTAAAATAAAATTGTAAATACCTCACAGTAAACACCACAAAGAAACGTTATTAATAAAATTGAAGTTTTCATTTTGATTTTTTATTTTGAAATGAATTTGATTTGTGAAACGTTTCGCTTCGAAGAAGAATTTGTACTGATTATTTCGTGCTAAAGGTTAATATATGTGATAATCGGGATGCAATAATCCGGTTACGTAGCCATTTTAGTTTGAATTGGGAACCCTATCTATACAAGATCACAAATCTATCAGTTACCTTGATTTATCATTGTGATATATCAAGTCTATTAAGTTCACAATTAGCTTTCTATATCTGTTCGAAATTGATAGATGGAATTCATTAAAGTAACAATCATAATATCAACTGTTGATGTTTTTGCTTCCTTCAATACTATAAACATGTTATTGAAACCTCCGAAAACCTTCCATTGTGTACGTATCGTAATTACCAAAACGTATATAAGAAGAAGATTTACCTCGACAATTTAGTGATTGATAAAATCAACGAAAATGAAGTCGTTTATTATTATTGCAGCTTTAATCGTTTATGTAGCAGCCAGTCATGTAAGAAATATTTTATTAATTAAAATTTATTCGTTAACAATATAATTCATCAGGGACATCATACTCCAGAAAATGTTGAGAGAATGAAGAAAATTGCTACAGAATGTGAGGAAACCACCCATGTGGACCACGAAAAAATAGTTCAACTCAGATTAAAACATTTTGACGATACCGATGAACACCTAAAAGACTACATGCATTGTTGTTTCAAAAAAATGACGTGGATGGACAATGATGGTCACCTAAAGAAAGATGAAATTAAAACTCATTTGAAAGAGATTATGACCGATATTGGACCTATGAAGGAGTGTATGAATAAACATGGTAGTACCCACGCTGCTACAGCTTATGCAGTTTACAAATGTTTATTAGAACACATGCCACACGATGTTAAATATCCATTGTAAAATTTTAACAACATATATGTGTTTGCGTAGATAAGAAAAATATATTTTCTTTCAATATAAAAATGTGATTTGATTCTAGTTAATTACAATCTGTAACTTTTAATATCCCAAAATCCCTCAATCGACAAATTTGCGTGATTTGTAGGGTTGCCATTGTAATTTTCCGGCTCAATCGTCCTCATCCCCTGATGTTCCATGTTTTCAATCTAGCTCCGGAGCTACACCGACCGAATGGAATCGTGTTCTATTTGGGGATCACGTCCCGGTTATCCTACCTTCCCTTACCCACAAATAGTACCACTTAAATCAGTCAACAAATCTATTATTTTATGTAAAACCTCGGTTTTTTGTATTCTAATTCATTTCTAATATTATGAGAGGTTGTAAAAAATTGATATTTTCTTCTTGCAGAAATTAAGACTTCTTCGTCGAATTTGGTGTTTGAAAACTTCCGTAATAACTGAGGTAAGAAATTAAAAATATAAAAATTATCAAAATAATTTACATTTTCTGATAATCAAGGAGTAGTTAACAAAATTTGTTATTCCATTTTCCTAAAGCTAACATAATGGTTCATACATAGCTTGGTATATTAGATGGTCTGGGTACACTAGGTATCTAGTATCTAATTAGTTGCGGCTAGTTATACAAATGTTACATTATCTGTAAGATGCTTTCTCTATTTTTTGACATCAAAACCATTTTCAATCTTAGTTGTTGTTATAAGTACGAAGGCTTTCACGGCCGGTGTGAATTAAACTAAGATTAGAACTAACACTAGAAACTTTCGGGTTTTGCCGTGCGTCTTTTAATAAAAGGTTTGACGTTTCGGATGCCATGTTGCAACCTTCTTCAGAAACTGGTTCGAAGTGACGAGATCNCCGTATCTTCCGCATCAGAGCATTATACGGTTGTAGAATACATTATTCTGAAGCGATCTTTCTAATAAATTTTTTTCGAAATGTTTATAATAACCGCACGGGAACTGTTTAACAACGACCAATAACGGACGACTTTGATTCACCGAAAAAGTTTATTTTAAAATTCTCTTTCCGTGACGAATCTATTGGTGACTACACGTGGGAAACGAGTTATCATCGGCGTAGCGGACCGGCCGAAGGAGGCACCGACTACCTGAGGCTGATTTGCGATCCGCTGATTGGACGAAAAACAGTTCGTTTAAACAGTTCCCGTGCGGTTATTATAAACATTTCGAAAAAATTTTATTAGATAGATCGCTTCAGAATAATGTATCGTACAATCGTATAATGCTCTGATGCGGAAGATACGGGACACGCTGTATAAGTCGGAAAAACTAATTAATAATCAGTTAACGCTAATTACAAACTAATTAATAACTAATTGCGTCGCGTCCGGTGTGAGGCGGGAAGAGGTCTTCGTGTTCACCACCATCTTCCATGTTCTGCTAAGCTCCCAGCCATCCTCTCTGTTGACGTTATTTTTATGTCGGTGAATCTCTATGGCTTCTCTTGTCAGTCTTTGGTAGTATCTGTTGTCCCTAGCCAGCACCTTTGTTTGTTCGAAGTCTATTCGGTGCCCCTCTGCATGGCAATGTTCCGCAACCGCCGACTGCTGGATCTTCTTCAGCCTTACATCCCTCTCATGCTCCTTGATGCGGCACTCGACGTTGCGTCCAGTTTGGCCAACATAAACCTTCCCACAACTACACGATAGTCGATAGACTCCCGCTCCTTTTAATGGAGTTAGTTTGTCCTTGGCTATCGGGAGTGTGTTCCGAATTTTGCTGACCGTGCCGTACCGCACTACGATGTCGTTCTTCTTGAGGTGCCTAGCAATTCGTTCCGTTACACCTGAAACATAGGGAAGACAGATAAATCCAAGTGGTTTTGTACTTACCGTGTCCTCTTTCTGCTTTCGCTGCTTGATGGCCTGGTTGATGTCCCTCGAAGTGTATCCATTCTTCTGCAGCACGCCTCGTAGAAAGTGTTGCTCCTTCTTCAAGTTCTCTCCTTCACATAGTCTCGCTGCTCGCTGAAATAATGTACGGATCACGGACCTCTTCTGTTGGGGATGATGATGTGAACATGCCTGTAAATACCTGTTGGTATGGGTCTTCTTTCGGTATACACCAAGTTCTATATCTCCATTTGTCGTCCTGGTGACCAACACATCTAGGAAAGGTAGTTTTTTGGCAGTTTCTGTTTCCATGGTGAACTTAATCATAGGATGTTGAGAGTTCAAGTGATCCAAGAACTCTTGGAGCCGTTTTTGACCATGTTGCCATATCACAAACGTGTCATCCACATATCGGAGCCATAGTTTTGGTTTCCACTGGCTCTTCTTCAAAGCGTCCTCTTCGAATAATTCCATGTAGAAATTAGCTATAACTGGCGATAGTGGAGATCCCATGGCTGCCCCTTCGAACTGCTCGTAAAATTCTCCTTTCCAGCTGAAATACGTCGACGATAAGCAATACTCCACCAGATCTGGCACGTATCCTGGTAAACCCTCCGGAATGAGTTTTCGGCGAAGACCCTCTACAGCATCCTTAACTGGTACCCTAGTAAAAAGGGATTCCACATCGAAACTTACCAACATATCCCCAGCATCCAGCTTTACACCTTTTACCGATTCCACAAAATGTGTAGAATCCCTGACATACGATTCCGTGTTACCTGTAAAGGGGGACAGAATCTTTGCAAGATGTTTAGCCAGCTGGTATGTTGGGGAGTTGATGGCGCTGACGATAGGGCGGAGGGGGACGTCTGGTTTGTGAATCTTCGGTAGTCCGTAGATTCTTGGTGGTACCGGCGCCTGCACAAACAAACCTTTCTGCTGTTCTGCTGGAATTCCTGTGGATTTTATCAGTTCCTTCATTTTTCTAACGATTTTGTCTGTGGGGTCCTTCTTGATCTTCCTGTAGGTGGCTGGGTCCAGTAAGTTCATCATTTTGTCGTCGTATTCTTTCCTGTCCATAACAACGGTGGCATTCCCCTTGTCTGCTGGTAACACGACGATTTCTGATTTTTCTTTTATAGATCGGAGTGCCTTCTTTTCACCAACCGTCAAGTTGGATTTTGGTGGTTTTGCTGACTTCAATACTCTCGCAACTTCTTGTCGGATCTCTTCAGCTTTCAGTGCAGGCATCACTCGAACAGCTGCTTCCACTTCGCAGATGATTTCCTCCTTTGGGACCTTCTTCGGGGCGATTGCGTAGTTCAATCCTTTGGCGAGCACAGAGGTTTCGTCTTTCGTTAGTGGGACATTCGATCTGTTAATGACGATTGTTTCTACTGGTGAACTATTACCTTTCTTCTTTTGCGACCGGTGTTCCAGAGATTCAAACTTCTTGATGTGTGTGTCACGGGTCTTCTGAAATTCGCGATTAGCCTTCTCCATTGTTAGTCTGTCCACTTTGTCCCAGTCTTCTCCGGATATACAATTGGAAAGTGAGAGTGTTTTTTTTTAGTTGTTCTTGTTACAATTAGATTTTATTGGGTTGAGTTATTTTCAATGGCGATAAAACCACGATGAAGAAGATGTATTAAGATAAGATAGACAAGAAACTTAAATAAATGATACCAATATGATCGACATGATGAAATGCCATTTATTAAGCATTTTGGGTCGTCGGTGCTCGGTATCATTCCAGTATTTAGTGAAACTTTGCAACCGAATGGATCAAATGGATGACTCTAGTACTTAGTTAATAATTCTAATATTCAATTTTTGGGTTCTATTAAACCAACGTTGAATTTGTGTGTCACCTAAATCATTGATGAAACAAAAGTTGAATCACTACTAAATGAGATCCAGTATCCAGTCTTGAGTAAATAACTACAGTGTCTCTTGGATGTTTTCAATATTCAAAGAATGATTCAAATCTAAAATGGATGATTTCACTATGCATTGCAAGATTGTAATATTCAGCTAGTTTCTATACAATCTCTGTAAATCCCAATATCTAGTTAATCCCAATGAATTATTAATTATAATTATGTATAGTTTCCATACAGGTAAAAAGTAGAATGTAACGTATTATTTCAGCATCTTGTGTATGATGCCAGTTGTCCAGAGATCATTCCAGTAACTAAAGTGTGATTCCAGTATGCAACAGATGATTTCCGTACTCAATTGCTGGGTTTCATTATTTAGAAATTAGGTGCAGCACAAATAGGGAACAATTTTAGTATCCAATCGATAATTCTAATAGCAAGTAGGTAACTCCAGTATCCAATTGATGATTCCGCTCTATAATGTTTAATTTAACTATCCCAGTATCTAGTACGTGATTTCAGTTTTCCGGAGATGATTCAGCTTTCAGATTTCAGCATTCAGGGGATTATTCCAGTATCTAGAGTATGATTCCAGTATGCAACAGATGAATTCAGTACTCATAGCAAATAAGTATAGTAACCAGTCGATAATTCTAACATCAATTACATAACTCCAGTATCCAATGGACGATTCTACTATCCAACCTATGATTCTAGTAATTTGTTATTGTGTGCAGTATATGCTGTTCCACATTTATGATTTACATTGTTGCAGAATTTTCTATAGGTTAAATTTCCTGCGGAATATGAAGCTATGACAACTGCTAATTTTATTGTAACCTCGGCGGTTTAGATATACCTAACAAAGTGTATCTTTCCGCGAGTATGAAAGCAAGCCACTGAAGCCCAAAGTAAAGTGATTTCAACTCTGGCAGTTTGCCTTGAATGAAACCGATGCATTTTTTTGCTTACCAACGAAGTTAACATTCTCGAATGTATTAACTTTCCATTCTTACGATGATAAATTAACAAAGTTCATCTCCTACTTTTCTTAGAAGAAATGAAAGAGGTGGTTTTATGTCGCTAATACCATGCAAGCAGATCATATTTAATGATAGTCTTAGTTTAATTTTCTCCTTCTGTTCTCCTCCACCTCTTGATAAATTTATCTGATATATAAAACCAGCTCTTAGCCAATGAAAGCCTATGCTAAATTTGAAGTTCTTGTAACGAGACCACATTTTTTACTATTTCGATATACCTACCAAGATATCTCAAATATCTCAACCGAACTATTTATGAGACAAGGTAAGTAAGGAGAATACTTTCTTCGGACTTAGGATGGAAAATAAAAAACGTAACAAGGATTGATGAGGCGATGCAACCTTGCAACTGTAGATGTAGCATTCGAGTTGCACATTAAATAGGTAAAATAAAGAAAGGTTCAAACAAGATTAAACATTATATTCTAAAACAGAGAAATAAATGTATATGATATATTTTTATAATTCTACTCCAGCAAATTCATGTTTTGGTAACCCAACCATATAACATTTAGCTAATAAATAAGCAGATTCCAATCCATTCCCACCTTTTATATTGCTGCAAGCAGCATTAGCTGCTTTAGAATCGCCTATTAAGTTATCATCAAAATTAATTACGGCTTCTTTATTTACAGTACCATCTTGTCTTATAAAACCCAGTTGTAAATAAAAACAAAAGAGAAAATGTTTCAACACATCATCGTCGGAAAACTTTTTGTTCATAAAATCAACTATCAATGCACGTTCGATGTTTGCTTCTTTCTCACATTTAATAATAATGTTTTTGAATAGTGCTTCTGTTTGTGGAGTGTACAACTATTAAAAAAAGTGTATAAAAATTAGGGATTTTCAAATAAATCTATTAATACCTTGCCAACAACTACACCGAAAAGTATTAGTAAAATTAAATATTTCATTTTTAACTTTTTGGTTTAAGAGCGTTTCTTAACTCAACGGCTGATTCGTACTGTATATATAGTTTCCATAGAGGTTATAACTTCCTTATGTGTGTTAAAGGTTAAATTAGCCGATAAAAATTTTTAAACTTTTGTCGTGAGTTGTGTTTTATATCTTTAAAATTAAAAAAAAAGTATTATTTATATATTTTATCTATTGTAATTGACGCTTTTAGAATTTATAAAAGATTTACAGAGGATGTTTGTAATCGGCGGGGAGATGTTGCAAATAACATTTGTAAATGTTGTATGCAAGTTCCGGCCCATTGCTGCCCTTCGTTTCCTTGCAATGTCTCATGGCGATGAGAGAGTCGGTGCTTCTATGAACGTCCTTCTTGAGGTGTTCCGCATCAACGGTTCCATCTTCGTTCATCCAGTGGATTTTCTTGAACACGCAGAACATGTAATCCTTGAGGTGTTGATCGTCGTCATCGAAATGTTTATGTTTTCTCATATCAGTGAGCTTTTCGCGAGCAACTTTGCTAGAGGTTTCGCATTCTGTTGAGATAGTCCTCAATCTGGTTATTTCATCAGCAGTAATTGCCTGTAAGGTGATTTATTTACAACTAAATAATAAGAAATTTAAATGTCTTTTACCTCATCACCTACAGCCGCAGAAATAACGGCAACAAAAACGATTAAGTACTTCATTTTCGTTGACTTTAATATAACCGATCTTTTAAGATTCTTGGTTGTAATTGGTTTTCAATAAGGCATCAACTCGTATTTATACTAAATTTGAACATCAGTTAAATTCATGCAAATCTTTTTAAATTCTAAATTGGTATGTTTTGGTTTACTAAAAATAAAATTACATAGCGAGTTTTGATAGGAAAAGTACAATCTAATTAATTCTTGCAAAAATATTTATTGGACTTAAATAAAAATATTAATAACCTTGTTAAGTAAAATGATACTTATTATTTTTTTTAATGAAAATCTTTTATATTAAATCTTTTTTTTTTCAGTATCCAATTGATGACTATCCAATGTATGATTTTGGTAATTTATTGTGATGTGCAGTATCAATAATGATTGCTTCCTGTCTTCAGATGTAATGTACATATAGTTTCCATAGAGGTTAGAACCAGAATGCAGTGGACTATAACAGCATCTAGTACGTGATTCCAGTTTTCAGGAGATTATTCTAGTATCTAGAGTGTGATTCCAGTATGCAACAGATGATTTTTGTTCTCTATTATTAGACTCCATTATCTAGAAGTTAGATACAGCACATATAGCATATATGTTTAGTTGCCAATCGATAGATCTAATATCAAGTATAGTATTAGTAATTTATTGTGTGTAGTATCTATAGTGATTAGACTAGAACCAATCAACAAAGATTGGTTCTAGTCTGCAGAAATTATGCATAGTTTCTATGGTTATAACTTGAATGGAGTGGACGATCTCAGCATCTAGTACGTGATTCCAGCATTCAGGAGATCATTCCAGTATCTAGAGTATGATTCCAGTATGCAACAGATGAATTCAGTACTCATAGCAAATAAGTGTAGTAACCAGTCGATAATTCTAACATCAATTACATAACTCTAGTATCCAATGGACGATTCTACTATCCAATCTATGATTCTAGTAATTTGTTATTGTGTGCAGTATATGCTGTTCCACATTTATGATTTACATTTTTGCAGGATTTTCTATAGGTTGAATTTCCTGCGGTATATGAAGCTATATGACAATTGCTAATTTTATTGTAGCCTCGGCGGTTTAGATATACCTAAGAGAGTGTATCTTTCCATGAGATTGAAAGCAAGCCACTGTAGCCCATAGTAAACTGGTTACAACTCTGCCAGCTTGCCTTGAATGAAACCGATCCATTTTTTTGGTGTTGAGGTGTTTTTATGTCGCTAATATTATGCAAGCAGATCATATTTATTTGATAGTCTTAGTTTAATGTTCTCCTTCTGATCTCCTCCACCTCTTGATAAATTTATCTCATATATAAAACCAGCTCTTAGCCAATGAGTGCCTATGCTAAATTTGAAGTTCTTGTAACGAGACTACATTTTTTACTATTTCGATATACCTACCAAGATATCTCAAATATCTCAACCGAACTATTTATGAGACAAGGTAAGTAAGGAGAATATTTTCTTCGGACTTAGGATGGAAAATAAAAAACGTAGCAAGGATTAATGAGGCGGTGCAACCTTGCAACTGTCGGTCTCTAATCATTCACAAACATCACCAAGAATGTAGATGTAGCATTCGAGTGGCACATCAAATAAGTAAAATGAAGAAAGATTCAAACAAGATTAAACATTGTATTTTAAAACAGAGAAATAAATGTATATGAAATTTTTTTATAATTCTACTCCAGCGAATTCTTCTTTCGGTAACCCATCCATATAACATTTAGCAAATAAATAAGCAGATTCCAAGCCATTCCCACCTTGTATATTGCTGCAAGCAGCAGAAGCTGCTTTAGAATCGCCTATTAAGTTATCACCAAAATTAATTACAGCTTCTTTATTTATAGTACCATCTTGTTTTATAAAACCCAGTTTTAAATAAGAACAGAAGAGAAAATGTTTTAACACGTCATCATCCGAAAACTTTTTATTCATAAAATCAATTATCAATGTACGTTCGATGTTTACTTCTTTCTCACATTTAATAATAACATTTTTCAATAGTGCTTGTGTTTGTGGAGTGTAGAACTATTACAAAAAATGTATAAAAATTAGGCATTCTCAAATAAATCTATAAATACCTTGCCAACAACTACACCAAAAAGTATTAGTAAAATTAAAGATATCATTTTTAACTTTTTTGGTTTAAGAACGTTTCTTAATTCAACGAATGATTCGTACTGATTGCTCCTTTATATTTGTTAAAGGTTAAATTAACTGATAAAATTTTTTGCATTTTTATCGTGAGTTGTGTTTTATATCTTTAAAATTGAAACAAAAAGGTATATTTATAAATTTTATTTATTTGTTATTGATGATTTTAGAACTTATAAAAGATTTACAAAGGATGTTTGTAATCGGCGGGAAGATGTTGCAAATAACATTTGTAAATTTTGTATGCAAGTTCCGGGCCATTGCCCGTCTTTCCCTTGCATTGTCTCATGGCGGTGAGAGAGTCGGTGTTTCTATGAACGTCCTTCTTCATGTGTTCCGCATCAACGGTACCATCTTCGTTCATCCAGTGGATTTTCTTAAACATGCAGAACAAATAATCCTTGAGGTGTTGATCGTCGTCATCAAAATGCTTATTTTTTCTCATATCAGTGATCTTTTCGTGAGCAACTTTGCTAGTGGTTTCGCATTCTGTTGAGATAGTCCTCAATTTGGCTATTTCATCAGCAGTAATGGCCTGTAAGGTTATTTATTAACAACTAAATAATAAAAAATTACATTAAATGTTTTTACCTCATCAGCTACAGCCGCAGCAAAAACAGCAACAAGAACGATTAAGTATTTCATTTTCGTTGGCTTCAATACAACCGATCTTTTAAGATTCTTGGATGTAATTGGTTTTCAAATAAAGTATCAACTCCTATTTATACTAAGTTTGAACATCAGTTAAATTGATTCAATTTTTTTTAAATCTTAAATTGGTATGTTTTGGTTTACTAAAAATAAAATTACATAACGAGTTTTGATAGGAAAATTACAATCTAATCAATTCTTGCAAAAATAATGATTGAACTTAAATAAACATGGTTAATAACCTTGTTAAGTAAAATGATACTTATTATTTTTTTAATAAAAATGTTTTATTACATTTTATATTGTTCGATAATTTAGTAAAACTCCAGTATCCAACTGATGATTTCGCTATCCATTGTATGATTTTGGTAATTTATTGTGATGTGCAGTATCAATAATTATTGGTTCCTGTCTTCAGATGTAATAAACATATAGTTTCCATAGAGGTTAGAACCAGAATGTAGTGGACTATCCCAATATCTAGAAGTTAGATACAGCACACATAGCATATATGTTTAGTTACCAGTCGATAGATCTAATATCAAGTACATAATTCCAGTATACAATGGACGATTTTAGTATGTAATTTGTTGTGTGTAGTATCTATAGTGATTGGTTCTAGTCTTCAGAAATTATGTATACTTTCCATGGAGGTTATAACTAGAATGGAGTGGACGATCTCAGCATCCAGTACGTGATTCCAGTTTTCAGAAGGTCATTCCAGTATCTAGAGTATGATTAAAGTATGCAACAGATGAATTCAGTACTCATAGCAAATAAGTATAGTAGCCAGTCGATAATTCTAATATCAATTACATAACTCCAGTATCCAATGGACGATTCTACTATCCAATTTATGATTCTAGTAATTTGTTATTGTGTGCAGTATATGCTTTTCCACATTTATGATTTACATTTTTGCAGGATTTTCTATAGGCTGAATTTACTGCAGTATATGAAGCTATGGCAACTGTTAATTTTATTGTAGCCCCGGCGGTTTAGATATACCTAAGAGAGTAATAGTAAACTAGTTTCAACTCTGGCAGTCTGCCTTGAATGAAACCGATCTTTCTTCTGCTTACCAATGAAGTTAACATTCTTGAATGTATTAACTTTTCATTCTTACGATGATAAATTAATAAAGTTCTTCTCCTGATTTTCTTTAAAAAAATGAAAGAAGTGATTTTATGTCGCCAATACCATGCAAACAGATCATATTTAATTGATAGTTTTAGTTTAATGTTCTCCTCCACCTCTTGATAAATTTATCCGATATATAAAACCACCTCTTAATCAATGCTAAATTTGAAGTTCTTATAACGAGACCACATTTTTTACTATTTCAATATATCTACCAAGATATCTCAAATATATCAACCAAACTATTTATGAGGCAAGATAATTAGGGAGAGTACTTTCTTCGGACTTAGGATGGAACCAGGCATGTAGATGTAGCATTCGAGTTGCACGTTAAATAGGTAAAATGAAGAACGGTTCAAACAAGATTATTATATTTTAATATAAAAAAAATTATATTATATTATTTTAATGTATATTATTATTACATTATATTTTAAAATAAAGAAAGAAATGTATATGATATTTTTTTATAATTCTACCCCAGGAAATTCTTGTTTTGGTAACCCATCCATGTAACATTTACTGAATAAATATGCAGTTTCCAATCCATTCCCACCTTTTGTATTGCTGCAAGCAGCAAAAGCTACTTTAGCGTCACCTATAAAGTTATCGCCAAAGTTAATCATAGCTTCTTTATTTAAAGTACCATCTTGTCTCATTAAACCCAGTTGTAAATAACAACAGAAAAGGAAATGTTTTAATACATCATCATCGGCAATCTTTTTATTCATTAAGTCAATTATTAATGTACGTTCGATGTTTGCTTCTTTCTCACATTTAATAATAACGTTTTTGAATAGTGCTTCTGTTTGTGGAGTGTACAACTATTAAAAAAAGTGTATAAAAATTAGGAATTTTCAAATAAATCTATAAATACCTTGCTAACAACTACACCAAAAAGTGTTAATAAAATTAAAGATTTCATTTTTAACTTTTTTTGGTTTAAGAACGTTTCTTACGATTCGTTTAATTGAACGAATGATTGATACTGATTGCTTCTTTGTGTTTGTTGAAGGTTAAACTAACTGATAAAAAGTGGTTGAATTGTTATCGTGAGTTGTGTTTTATATTTTTAAAATTGAAACAAAGAAGTATTGTTTATAGATTTTATTTATTTGCTATTGATACTTTTAGAACTTATAAAAGATTTACAAAGGATGTTTGTAATCGGCGGGGAGATGTTGCAAATAACATTTGTAAATGTTGTATGCAAGTTCCGGGCCATTTCCTGTCTTTCCCTTGCATTGTCTCATGGCGGTGAGAGAGTCGGTGTTTCTATGAACGTCCTTCTTGAGGTGTTCCTCATCAACGGTACCATCTTCGTTCATCCAGTGGATTTTCTTAAACATGCAGAACAAATAATCCTTGAGGTGTTGATCGTCGTCATCAAAATGCTTATTTTTTCTCATATCAGTGATCTTTTCGTGAGCAACTTTGCTAGTGGTTTCGCATTCTGTTGAGATAGTCCTCAATTTGGCTATTTCATCAGCAGTAATGGCCTGTAAGGTTATTTATTAACAACTAAATAATAAGAAATTTAATTTTTTTACCTCATCAGCTATAGCAGCAGCAATAACGGCAACAAGAACGATTAAGTATTTCATTTTCGTTGACTTCAATACAACCGATCTTTTAAGATTCTTGGATGTAATTGGTTTTCAATAAAGTATCAACTCGTATTTATACCAAGTTTGAACATCAGTTAAATTCATTCCATTTTTTTAAATCCTAAATTGATATGTTTTGGTTTACTAAAAGTAAAATTACATAACGAGTTTTGATAGGAAAATTACAATCTAATCATTTCTTGCAAAAATATTGATTGGACTTAAATAAACATGCTTAATAATCTTGTTAAGCAAAATGATACTTATTTCTTTTAATAAAAGTCTTTTATTAAATTCTATATTATTCGATAAGTTATTAAAATTTAAAAAAAAATAATAAGCTTTTAATAAATGTGAGGAGTAAATAAACACTTAAACATGTTTATTATGACTCTTGTTCTAATTTGAAAAATGTTCGCCATCGAAAAACAACTTCAGTAAATATTTGCTTCTCTCCACGTGATGCTCTCAAATTTGCCCTGATTTACCAAACACATGTGGATATTTTTTCTGACCTTTAATAGGAGTTTGACGTGAAATTATTCAATTGGATCGTACAGCAAGTTATTTTCTTTGTCATATTCTTCTGCACCTCTCCAAAGAAGAATTTGAAAAATAAAGAACCAACGATTGAAAAATATGTCATGAATCCCATGTTAGCCATGAATCTCAATATTAATAAAACAATCACATGCTTGTGATTCTCACGACGCTAAATAAATAAAAGTACTGTCAAAATGGTTCAGAAAGCAAGAATCGTTTGATAAAGAGATATTGCTCGTAGAGAATTAGACTAAACAATAGATACAGCTTGTAGTAGACTGTAGCTGATAAAAGACTAGATAATTGTAGTGGAAGACGAGATATTGAATTCTAGATATTACTGGTAGAAAAATGCTTATTGTTTGCAGCAGACTGGATATTGTTACTACAACACTAAATTTTTCTTGTAGAAGACTGGATACTGCTGGGAAAGACTAGATACTGCTTGGGCATTAACAATACCAGCAAAAGAAAAGCTACTGTTTGCAAAAGACTACACACTGGCTACTGAAGTATAGATATTGCTGGTGGAGGACTGGATGTTATAGAAGACTATTTTATGTTATTATTATTCACGGAAAATTGCTTACTGCTTTGTAGCATATAGCATATTATCGATAGAAGACTAAATTCTGCTCCAAGAATACTATATAAAGTTGGCAATGTCTTGATACTGTTTGTAGAATACTGACTTTGTTAGTAAAACCAAGATATTGCTTGGAAAAAACTATACATTGCCGTCTGAAGACCAGATACTGCCACTGGAAGACTAAATATTATAGAAGACTAGATATTAACTGCAGAAGACTACTTACTACTTTGTAGCAAACTGTATATTGCTAATAAAAGAGTAAATTCTGCTCGTAGAATACTAGACATTGCTGGCAAAGGCTAGATACTGGTTGGAGAACACTGACACTGCCAGAAAAAGATAAGATATTGGTTGCAATGGATTACACACTGCCAATAGAAGTCTGGATATTATAGAAAACTAGATATACTTGCAGAAAACTACTTACTCCTTTGTTGCAGACTGGATACTGCTAATAAAAGACTAAATTTTGTTAGTAAAACACAAGACGCAGCCGACAAAGACTAAATATTGGTTGTAAAACACTGACACTGCTATCAGAAGTTATGATACTATTTGCAATAAACTGTACACTGCCATCAGAAGGACTCATAGAGAATCATAGAAGACTAGATATTAATTGCAGAAAGCTACTTCCTGCTTTGTAGAAGACTGCATATTGCTAATAGAAGATTAAATTCAACTCGTAGAATACTAGGCACTGCCGACAAAGACTAATTACTGGTTGCAGAACACTGACACTGCTAGCAAAAGACATGATACCGCTTGCAATAGACTATATACTGCTGGAAGAAGACTACTTATTGCTAGTGGAGACTACTAGATTACTGAACACTTGATTTACTGCTTTGTGGCAATCTGGACATTTTTAATAGAACTAAATTCTGCACGTGGAACACTAGACAATGCTGGCAATGACTATATCTGGGTTGTAATAGACTAGATATTACCTCCAAAATATTTATTACTACTCACAGAATACTAGACACTGCTAATAAAGGGCAGGCCTTCGAACTTTCAAGAACCCGCAACCATGTTTTTTTTAGGTATATTTTAATTAGCACAAATAAAAGAATTTAAACCATCTGTAATTAATAAATAACAAGAAGCACATCAAAGATGGACCAGATTTTCAAGCAGAGCTAATCATACAAATGAAATGTTACATTTTAACCACCAAGAACTCGATCATTTCAACTTTTAAAACACCACCGTATTTTTTATTAGAATCTACACTCTGTTTAGTATATCTTGTGCAAATTTCATTATTCCAACTCAATTCTAAAAAATTTTATGATATTTTATAACAACGAAAACCTTAATTTTAGGTGACAACATTTTCAAATCAACTTTGGTAACACATCATTTTTCAAAATAAATTAAATTATTTTATAAACCTACTTTATAAAATAATTAAATTTTATAAAATTTATAATCCTAAGTTAACTTTTAACGAAGTAACATAATACTTTGAGACTTTAAATTATTGTTGTTGTTTGATACTTTTTTACTTGGTTAGAAATTAATATCAAATAGTTTCATTAAATATACAAACACATTAATTACTATAAAAACAAAACGAATTTATTCATTTTTCTTTACAAAGTTGTTTTGAAACCAACAGGCAAATTAAGTTTATAACATACAAACATAGAAAACGCAGTTTCAGGCCCAGTTGAACCATGTTTATCGATACACGGTTTCATTGCTTTCTCAGCAATTGGATCTTTGGAGGCGAAAGATAAAACGTTGTCCTTGATGATTGTCCCATCAGAATTTTGCAACCCCAATTTTTGGAAAATGCAGTAAATGTACTCTTTAAGACGAGGATCGTCCTCAATTTGGTTCACCCTCATCTTTTCGAGTACCTTTTCAGATACATGCGTTTGTGCAACACAGGTATCACTAAATTTCTTTAATTTTATTTTATCTTCATCTGTTAAAACCTAGAGAAATATTTTATTATTTTTTAATTTTTAAGGATAAATTTAATACTTACCGCAGCGCTTGTTACGCTAATAATAAGTGTTAAAGCTAAGATGTACTTCATTCTTTTTGAAATTTTGGTGAAATGTAACTAATGCATTTTTTTCCCAACACGAATCGTTTATATATCAATGCAAAGTAACAAGAATAACACAAAGATAAATGTTGATAAAATTAAAAAAATATTGAGATAATTTTGTTTTTTTATTGTGTTAATCGTGTAGTAATTGGAGTTTACAAAAATAAACTGTTTATGATTTATTCATTTATTTATTCATTGCGATAATTTTTTTAATATCAAAATATTTATAACCATTAATTATTTATAATGGGTATTTGTAATCGGCTGGAAGATGTTGCATGTAACATTTGTAAATATTGTATGCATGTTCGGCTGGGGTGCTACCTCCCGTTCCTTTGCAGGCTTTCATGGCTTCAGCGCTTTTTTTGTTGTCTTGGATATCTTTCTTGATATTATCTTTTTGAACGACACCCTCATCGTCCATCCAGTGGAGTTTCTTGAAAACGCAGAACATATATTCCTTGAGGTGTTCATCGTTGTCGTCGAAATGTTTATTTCTGAATTCAGAGATTTTTTCATGGGCAACCTTACTGCTGGTTTCGCATTCAGAGGTCAAAGTTTTCAATTTTTGAATCTGATCGGCAGAGTAGATCTGAAATAATATTTATATAATTTATGTAATTTAATATAATAATATTTTTTTACATCATCTGCAGCGACCGCAGCAATAACTGCAATAAGAACAAAGATGAATTTCATTTTCCGTCGGTTTTCAACTGAACTGTTCGATATAGACGTTTAGTTGTAACTGATTTTCTTTAAAGAATCCGCTCGTATTTATACAAAGATGCACTAAAGTCTTTTAGATATCCATTTTTTTCGTGCATCTTTAATGTTCAAAACAAATTACATAACGAATTTTAATTAGATAATAATACACAGACAAGGATTTATTATTGATATGATTTAAACGAAACTTATTTTTCATTTTCTTTTCATCTAATCACTAAAATAGAATGACAATCATAAAACAAATAAACCATTTAATAATAGAAATATTACAAATATGTATAATACGATTAAATAGGGCTTAAATTTATTTTAAGCATTCACACGATAATTTTGTTGGTTAAATATTTGTTTAAACTCACTTAATGATTAATAAAGAATTTGAAATGTGAAATGTCTCAATGGTTTAAGAATAAACATCTATAGACAGATCTTTTAATTAGAAACGTTTTTAAGAATTTTCCAAATTTTTTATTATGTTTAAAAATTTATATCTCAAGAAGTTAACTGTATGTTGACAATTATTTCTTCCGTTGAAAAGCCTATAATTGGAATTAAACATTTCAAAAAATTCAAATTTAAAAATATTTGTTTATCCTAAAAAATGAGAAAATGTCTTTAATAATCAATATCTCAAAAACTAAAAGATATTTTGAAAATCTGTTACTTTCATTGGAAAGCTTATAATTTATATTACACATACTGATAATTTGATAAGAATTTATTGAAGCTACGATTTATTACGATTTTTTGAATAATATTTGTTTCTCCTAAAAAATGAGAGATTGCACCATTATGTTTAATAATCAATATCTCAAAAACTAATAGCTATTTTGAAAATCCTTTACTTTCATTGGAAAGCCTACAATTTATATTACAAATGTTGATAATTTGATAAGAACTTATTGAACCTTCGACTTATTGTGATTTTTTTAAAATGATTAAAAATATCTGTTTGTCCTAAAAAATGATAAAATGCCCCGTTATATTTAATTATCAATATCTCAAAAACTAAAAGCTCTTTCGAAAATCCTTTACTTTCATTGCAAAGCTTATAATTTGTATTACAATTGCTGATAATTTGGTTAGAATTTATTGAAACTTTGATTTATTATGATTTTTTGATTTAAATTGATTGAAAATATTTGTTTATCCTAAAAAATGATAAAATGCACCAATACGTTTAATGATCAATATCTCAAAAACTAAAAGCTATTTTGAAAATCCGTTTCTTTCATCGGAAAGCTTATAGCTTGTATTACAAATGCTGATAATTTGATAAGAATTTAGTGACGCTGCGATTTACTATGATTTTTTGAATAATATGTGTTTATCCTAAAAAATGAGAAAATGCATCATTCATTACGTTTAATGATCAATATCTCAAAAACTAAAAGATATTTTGAAAATCCGTTGTTTTCATCGGAAAGCTTATAATTTGTATCACAAATGCTGATAATTTGATAAGAATTTATTGAAACTACGATTTACTATGATTTTTGAAAAATATTTGTTTATCCTAAAAAAATGAGAAAATGCATCATTACGTTTAATGATCAATATCTCAAAAACTAAAAGATATTTTGAAAACCCGTTGTTTTCATCGGAAAGCTTATAATTTGTATCACAAATGCTGATAATTTGATAAGAATTTATTAACACTACGATTTAATATGATTTTTTGAAAATATCTGTTTATCCAATAAAATGAGAAACTGGCCCATTACGTTTAATAAAATCAATATCTCAATAACTAAAAGATGTTTTGAAAATCCGTTACTTTCATTGGAAAGCTTATAATTTATATTACAAATGCTGATAATTTGATAAGAATTTATTGAAGCTACGATTTACTATGATTTTTTGATTAATATTTGTTTATCGTAAAAAATGAGAGATTGCACCAATACGTTTAATGATCAATATGTCAAAAACTAAACGATATTTAGAAAATCCGTTACTTTCATTGGGAAGCTTATAATTATTGTGTCGTAAAAGCTGATAATTTCATACGAATCTATTAAAACTACAATTTAATACGATTTTTTGAATTTAATTGAAAATAATTGTCTATACCGAAAAATTAGAAAGATTCAAAAAGATATTTTGAAAATCCGTTTTTTAGTCGTTGTTTAGCGTCGCTTCTGTAGATTAATTCGTTGTTTATCCATTCTTTTTTACGTGTACTTTGGCTTCCTTATATTTGGTCAATAACAATATTTAATGAATTCATAAAACCGTCGAGTTGACGCATTCATTTGCATTAGAACTTCATAAATTGTCAACATATATTTTTATACATCAACGTGGAATGATAGTGTCCCTCAAAAAGCGGTTATAACACCGGAAGTGCTTAAAATTTCGTTTTAATATTTTATCTATTACATTTTTTAACATTGTTATTAAAAAATTTTTTTTTAATTTTTCTTCATTTCCAAATGAATAAGATGAAATAGTTGTGTCTATTGAATAAGATTATAGAAATGTTTATCTAGCACATATTGCGACTCATAAAATACACTGAGATAGAGACCGTTAACGCGTATATAAGAAAGCATAAAATAAACCGAAATTATCAGTTTGAAACGACAAGTTAAAGAAGAAAAAATCTTTTAAACGACATGAAATTATTTTTTCTTGTTTTAGTTTTAATAGTTATCGTGGCTAATGGATACGTGAGTAACTCGTAAGTTGTTTCTTTCTAAAATTTGATCTCTCACTAACTTCTCCAGTATCTCAGCGACGAACAAAAAGCGAAAATTAAAGAGATTACGAGGCGTTGTATAGAACAAACGGGAGTCGATCCAAATGTGCTCCTTCAAACGAAGAGAGGCGTATTCACGGAAGATCCAAAATTAAAAAGCTTTTTATTTTGTTCGTTCACCAACAGTGGGATTCAAGATTCGAAAGGTGCGATTCAAGAAGATGTTGTTAAATCGATATACCGAGCGGAACCTAGAGCTATTCAGGCTTTTCAACCTTGTTTTGGAAAAACTGGAGAAGATGGATTAATCATAGCTTATGAAACGTTTAAATGTTTTAGAACGAATTTACCTGAAGATTTAAAATTAATGCTTTAATTATCTTTTTATTTTAATTTATTGTTGTATTAAGATTAATTTTATTTATTGTTTCTTTTTTGTTTAAGATTAAAAATTACTTGATAGCATCGTAATGGCTATTTCCAAACAAAAATAAATCCTGGTGTTTTCTTTAACCTCGATAACCTTTCGAGAAACGATGTTCGAATCGTATGACACCATCCCACCAAAATCAGTTGCTAATCAACAATTACATAATGTTAATATATAAGGTTATCTTGTGCATGGACGTCGAAAGAATTATCTAATCACCTTTTAAAAAAACGATTGCAAATTAAAAAAAATTTAATTACATACTAAATCAAAACTACATAATTCAACAACTTAAGTTTATAGTCCTCCTTTAAATTTGGCAGGGAGGTTGCCTTTAAAGCACTTGTACACATCATAAGCTGTTTCGGTTGGTGAGTTTCCACGTTTGTCGTAACATTGAGATATCGCATTCAAAGCGATTTCGCTTCGCCCGAGGTCCTTCTTCAAAGTCTCCAAGTTTACAGTTCCCTTCTCATCAACAAATCCTAACTTTAGGAAAGTGCAAGCGATGTATTCCTTTAGATCCGGGTCGTCTAGTAACTCGCCACTTCTCCATTTATTAAGCGCTTCTTGTTTTACATTTGTTTCCCCTATACACTCTTTACTAATTTTTATTACTTCAACTAGACGTTCATCCGAAAAAAACTAAATTAAAAAAAATAAGAGAAAATAGAAAAATACATTAATTAAATGTGTTTACTTACGGGATGTTGATTTGCTGAAACAGCAATAACAAATAATGATAATAAAATTGAGATGGTTTTCATGGTTTTTTGAAATTAACTAAGGAATGCGTGTTAGTAAGGAAAGTTATAGAGTTTTATATTATTTCTTATCAAATCTAAAACGAAATTTTTGATTACTTTGCATTTAAGAAATAATATAAAAATCGGTAATCGGTATTTTACTTAAATTTCTTCATATTAAGCAAAATTAATGCATCCTATTTATCTAATATATTTGCAAATAAAGACGGAACTATAATAAACTATGGAATCTCATCCACAAACTACCGTAACTTAAACCACTTTGCACCCAAACGAAGGGCAAAACGCAACAATTGTCGCGAAAAACACCCTGCTAGTTATAGAGGCTGCAAAGTAGCAGTTTAACTTTAAAAACATCGAAATGGCAAGAACCAAAAGAATCCTCATAACCCACATTGATAAAATACAAGAAACTGGGAGATCAAAATAGTAACTGCAAACTGCCAACTTAAATAATAAATATATATTATAATAATAAAACAATTAATAAAAACTTATAATAAAACACGAACTATGCGAAGCAAAGAGTGGACTATTAGTGTTAGACTTAATAAGTAACTTGGTGGACTAATCGTACCAACAACAAAGGTGCCAGCAAGAAAACCATTGGCCATTAGTCTTCGTTTCATGACCTTAAACACCAATGGGTTGCTACATCATAGCGCCTGCTGCTCGATATAACATAACAATACCCAAAGGAGACAGTTTCATGCTTAGAGGTGACTTTAACTGTAAAAACATGTATTGGGCATCACATCTGACAACAAAAAAAATAATAGAACTTCTAGATACCATCAATAGTTACAACTGTGAAATCCACTTATCAACTTTAAATACTACTAATCTACACCAGGTCTTTCTAGTCATACATAATGCTTTGATTAAGCGTACTTCAAATCTCCATCATGTCTGCATCAAGACTGCATCAAGTCTCTATTTGATTTCAATGCTGCATCTCTTAAATACATCAAGATTTTTCAAGACACATTCACATTAAATCGGCATTAATTGATAAAGATTTGAAATTGGCATCAAATCTCTATTATTCCTACTTACTTTATGCATATATTAAGTTTCCATCAAGTGTCTTTTCGCTGTGACTCTGCAGCGTCACAACTGCATCAAAACTACAATTACTAATACATATTACTAATCTTTATCATGACTCGATTAAGTCGGCATCAAAATTGCGTCAAAATTTCTTCAAGGATGCATAAAATATTCATTAAATTCATATGAAATCTGCATTTTGCAGTCATCGAGCTCCTGTATCATGTTTCCAAGACGCCTTTAAAAATACATTCAGTTTGTCTTCATTTAATCTGCTTTAAATATCTATCATATATCAAGTTACCAAGTCTGCCTAAAGACAACCTCAAAAATTTACATCATATTTGCATCAAGACTTCTCCATGATTTTATCAACCATGTTTCCTTATGTGTCTGGAGTCAAGTGTCGATGCCGCAATAAGCCTACACCAATCGGATAAGCATCATTACTGCACCTAGGAAAAAATGCATCTATTAATATGTCAAGACTTCTTCAAAGTTGCATAAAATCACCTTATTAAATTTGCATCAAGTTTTTGAAGCCTTCTTTAAACCTCCTATAGGCTGTATCGAATTATCATCTCATCTGTATCTGGAAACTATGTGAATCATCTATGGATAATGTCATTACTATGTTTCCCTTAAGTTAAATCTGTGCAAAGTCATCATTAAGACTGCATTATATTTCTATCTGGGCTGCATCAAAACTGCTTCTGGAGTTGCGTCAAGACTCCTTCAAGGTTGCAGCAAGTTTCGGTATAGTTTGTGTTATTTTTTCAAATATGCATCGATTCTTTGTTATACTTCTGATATGATAGGTACATTATACTTTGATCCATTCTACTTTAAGTCTCCATCATGTATGTAATCAACCAGCTCCGTATAAAATCTACAACATCTCTCACCAAGTTGTCACCATGTTTCTGTTAAATCAATTCTGTTCGTAACCTATACTCCACCAAATCTCCATGAGATCTCTATTGCGTCTGTATCAGTACTGCATCTAGGAACGCGTCAAGATTTCCTTAAGATTGTGCATAATCTCCATAAAGTCTTTATTAAATCTGCATTGTCTTTAAAATCAGCATCAAATCTCCTTTATTCCTCCTCAATTAACGAATTTTTTCAACCGCCATCAATTTTAATCACCATTACTGCATCAACACTTCATGAAGTGTGCGTCAAAACTGCAATTAAAAGCGTATGAAAGCTTTAAAGGAAAAAATGCATCTATTATACATCAAGACTCCTTCAAAGTTGCAGAAAATTTCTTTATTAAATTTGCGTCAAGTTTTTGAAGCCTTCATTAAACCTCCACTAGACCGCATCAAATTATCATTTTATCTGTATCTAGAAACCATGTGAATCATCTGTGTAATGTCTTTATCATGTTTCCCTTAAGTTAAATCTGTGCAAAGTCTTCATTAAGAAATTATATTTCTATCTGGGCTGCGTCAACATTGCTTCTAGAATTGCATCAAGACTCCTTCAAGGTTGCAGAAAGTTTCGGTGCAGTTTATGTTATGTATTGAAATATGCACCGATTCTTTGTTATGCTTCTGGCATGATAAATATATTATACTTTAATCCAATCTACTTTAATTCTCCATCATGTATGTGATTAAGCAGCTCTATATAGAGCCCACAATGTCTCTCGCCAAGTTATTTCTATTAAATCAATTCTGTTCATAACCAATGATCATCAAATCTTCATGATATCTCTATTGGGTCTGTATCAATACTGATTAAGATTAAGATTTCTTCAAGATTGTGGATAATCTTCATAGAGTGCATTATGTATTATGTCTTTGAAATAAGGATCAAATCTCCATTACGCCTCCTCACTTAACGAGTGCTTTCAACTTTAAGTATCTACCATTACTGCATCAACGGCCCATGAAGTGTGCGTTAAAACTGCATCAATACTACACCTAAGAGCGCATGAAATCTTTAAAGGTTTATAAAAGGCAATCAGCTTTCATCAAGTTTGGATCAATATCACATTACATCTCTATTCGATCTGCATCATTACTGTACTTTCAAGACTCCTTTAAGATCGCAGTAAATTTCTATGTAGTTCTTATTAAGTCAGCATTATATCTTTAAAATCTGCATCAAATCTCAAATATTTCTCCTTACTAAACAGATGCATCAAGACTCAATCAAGTCTCCACTAAGACTATATCATATTTCAATCGAGTGCATCAAAACTTCTTTAAGATTGCAAAAAACACCATGCTTTAAATGCTAATTGTATTAAACCTGCATCAAATCTGTTTCAAAACTTCCATATGCTTATGCTATGATAGATGCATTATACCTCAACCAAGTTTGCTTTAAATCTTTATCATACTTTCATCAGTCTACATTCAGATAATTTGCATGAAGTCTACATCATGTATGCTTCAAGCCTACACCATATTTCTATGAAGTTGAGATTATTCAGAATCAATTATGCATATATTTCTGTCTGGTCTGCATCAACACTACAGTTAGAGGCGTGTCAAGTCTACTCGATATTTACATCAAGTCAAGTTAATAGCGAGTCTTAAAATATCTCCAAAAACATAGCACCGGGTAGAAGATGAACTTCAACAGGTGCATTTATTTAATATGAGTTGAGTGTATGTTGTGTCAAGATCGATTCCAATGTAAATAAGGGACAGATACTGCTTCCTGAATCACTATAAAAGTGACAATTTTGCCGTTGCGGGAACTAAAGGAATACATTTATCGGGTTCAGGATGTCACATTTTCTCTTTATTGTATTAATAATACATAAAGACGATCATGTCGATGAATGGTGATAAATCCGAAATAATCGCGCGCACTTTGGCCTTGGAGCTGTCATGTAACGAAGAGGTAAAAGTTACTGTTGAAAATTTACAAATATTAGTTTGCATTTAAATAATAAATAAAACGATAATAAATTGCATAAGTATTGAGAAACATGATAAAAGCTAATGATTTATTTTGTATTTTTTAAAGATAACATAAATAGATAGTAAAAAAATATATTATCTTATTTTTTAAATCACTAACCGTAATGATCCGGTTGTTTGCAGAATTATAATTTACCGCAATTACTGATAGATTACGTCTATACAATTTCCTATATTCATTAGAATGGAAATATATGCAATAGATCCTTTGTTACTGTATTTATTTCTTATAAAATACAATATCATTAGTGGTTGCTTAAGTTATATAAACTTAAGCCGGTTAAATAATAAGGTTTCTTCAAGGTTATCATAAACGCCAATTTTAATAATAATCAGATTTTTATTTATAGATTTACTCTTTAACTTGTTAAACTAATGTGATTCGGAGTAGAGTTCCAATAACATTTATAAATGTTATACGCTTTTTCATTATTGTCTTTTCCAGTTTGACCGTTGCATTTACCGATGACCGTTTTTATTTCTTCAGCTGTTAAATCCCCGGATATTTTTGCTTTTATAACAGTTTCTTGCAAGTCACCACTTTCATTCATAAATCCAACCTTTTTAAAGAAACAAAATACGAATTCGGCCACTTTGGGATCATCTACAAATTCACCTTGACGACTTTTTTGAATTGCTTCCGCGTTTGCACCTGTTGCAGCTAAGCAATCTTTAAAATATCCTTTTACTTTATTTTTTTGTTCTTCGGTTAAACACTAAAAAAGTTTTATTTATATTAGAAAATATTTCAAATTTACTTTTATTGAACTTACCTGAACCGATGCAATAATTAAACAGGCACAAACGATTAAAATGAAGAATTTCATTTTTTTTTTGGTTGCGATATCTGCAGGTGTGTATTAGATATGTTTAAAGTAAAGCAAGAGTTTGATAGTCTTTTATAGTGATCGGAAGGTCGTAGATGATGGTAGGTAAAGAACTAAGTCCAAAGATCGGCGTTTAGTTTCTTATGAAATCAAGGTCGCGTAATTTTTTTTAATGTTATTAATGATACTCTTCTCTTATTATTAAAGTGCGGATTTATAAGCATAAAAAAACTGAAAATATGTGCTTAAAATAGCACAAAAGTTTTTGAAATAAGCTTATAAAATGGCATTAAATTTTTAAAAAGCATAAAAAGCGTCGTTCTACCTTCAACTCGAATTAGTGTATATGTATATATTTTTTCTTTTTAGTTTGTTAGGGACATTTATTAATTTTTATTTGTTTAGGCTCTTCATTTTTTATATTTTTCTCGTTTTTTACTTATCGGCCACGATAATTGTTTCAGGTTGAATTTAATTTAGATTTATTATTACTTTATTTATTTTATTTTGTTTTTTTTTTTATATTTTTTTTTTGTGTATGGGATTTCCAGGAAGACCAGGACGCCATAACTTGGCTTACTGATGGAAATACCCTTTGGCAAACTCTATACTTAGTTATTTTAATGTATTACTTATATTGTAGTATTCTTTTATGCCAATAAACTAATATTATTATTATTATTATTAAAAACAAAAAATACTAAAAATAAAAATTAAAAAATACTACTCGTGACTGAACAAACCAATAATTAACTGTTTCTCTAAATTATTAACAGAAAATCTCATTCTTCTATCACTTAGTACATATTTTAGGGAAAAGCTACGTTCAACGTCCACACTGATGAGCAGGGCATATTTTAAATTTAGGAATAATGGTGGCATCTATGTATAGCAAGATCTTCAACCAGATTTCTTTGAATAGCACTTGCTACTTGATATAACATTTTATATTTTATATTTTTATTTAAAACTTAGTTAATTTATTAAAAATTATTTTTACCGAAGCGCCATGTACATTTGAAGCCTCTTTCCTAAAATTTTCAATTATATCCATTTTCAAATGAGTTCACAAAACTATAGTTTGTTTTAATAAATGCTAAAGTTTGTTTCACCTGTTCATTTTTTACATTATCTTGACACTTTGCAATTGCCTGGGAAGCAGATTCCGGAAACTCCAATATAATTTCCTTAAAAGAGTCAAAATGGTCAGCATAATTGCGGCAGCATCTAGCAATGTGCCCCATCTTGCAATAACCGGTTCAGGAGGAAGTGATACACCCGGTATTCTTTCTCGATATAATTGAACTCTTAAAAAAGCTTTTATGAAAACTTTATTTCCAGTTTTGATCAAAGTATTTACCAAAGGAAACTGTGCTCGAATAGTTTCAGCAACACGGCTAAGTCCATGTGCTAAACATGTACAATGGATCAGGTTTTCATAAAAAACTTTAAAATTTGTATGAGCTTTTAGCATGTAAGGAGCCGCCTCAGAAAGCATTAGTAATATTTTTTGACTTGGAGCTTTTTTTACTTCGGGACTTGGCATAAAGAATTTCGTTAATTCATCGTAAATGAGTCTCGTTTGTACAGGTAATGGCCTCGTATCCATTCGATAACGGTTGGTCTTACTTTGGACATTGTCTTAAACAATATATAAACGTACACTTTAAACCCCGATTCTCACCTCTTTGAGCTTTTACCATATACTGCAGTACGCAGTGCTTAGTGAAGATGGATAATAAAATCTGATTATTTATCGCAGTAAATGTACACAATTTGCGAAAAATATGCCATCAATGGTAAAAAAATGCATAAAATAAGCGCTAAAAAAATATATGCATTAAAATTGAAAATAGGCAAAATGACACAAAAAAAAACATTAAGCAGGAGCATTAATTTATTGTAATTCGTGTACAGGGTGTCCTGTACGGAGCGGCTGTATCTCAACAACGGTAAGGCCTAGAGGTTTGGGAAAAAAATCCTTATAAGCAAATTGGGCAAGAGAAATAGCTGGAAATTATTTTGAAGTTCGTAATTCGACCGCTAGGGGCGTAACTGCCATAGAGAAACATAAAATTCATGCTCTTTTAAAAGATATTTTCAGTAAGACCGCTTGGTTTAAAACAAATAAGCTAGAGGGCGTTATCTGCAGCGGTTACATATTTTTGTGATTNCCTCCTCACTTAACGAGTGCTTTCAACTTTAAGTATCTACCATTACTGCATCAATACTGCACCTAAGAGCGCATGAAATCTTTAAAGGTTTATAAAAGGCAATCAGCTTTCCATGGAAGCTTCCATGAATCTTCACTAATTAATGACGTTGATGTTAGCTGTTCTGGAAATACTGCCGACAAATTCTCTAGAAATTGGACTGACTGCTTCAAGTTCAATTTTGCATCATGAAGTGTTGCTATTTTCTGATATTGGACTTCCTTTTACTGCTAGGTTTTTCGATTGTTATCCTTAATTTATACAGTTTACCAGAATAAAGTAGGTATCAAAATTAAGGTTATAAATTGATAGTCTAAACAACTATTTTTAAGTAAAACGCAACTACTATATCATGACTATCCACTACATCCTATGCGGTTCTCTAGTGAACACAATTTAATTAAAAAATGCGTTAACCAAGTACCATCGATAGACAAAGATGACATACGCGGTTCAGAATCATTTGAAGCAATTAGAATGCATTGAAATTCTTTAAAAAGCAAATGGTATTTAGTTCAACATGGAGCCAGTGCAAGAACTCGCCATTTCAAGTGGAAAAAAAATCATTTTCATGGATATTTTCTTTTTAATATTCATCCGATCTGCATCATTACTGTACTTTCAAGACTCCTTTAAGATCGCAGTAAATTTCTATGTAGTTCTTATTAAGTCAGCATTATATCTTTAAAATCTGCATCAAATCTCAAATATTTCTCCTTACTAAACAGATGCATCAAGACTCAATCAAGTCTCCACTAAGACTATATCATATTTCAATCGAGTGCATCAAAACTTCTTTAAGATTGCAAAAAACACCATGCTTTAAATGCTAATTGTATTAAACCTGCATCAAATCTGTTTCAAAACTTCCATATGCTTATGCTATGATAGATGCATTATACCTCAACCAAGTTTGCTTTAAATCTTTATCATACTTTCATCAGTCTACATTCAGATAATTTGCATGAAGTCTACATCATGTATGCTTCAAGCCTACACCATATTTCTATGAAGTTGAGATTATTCAGAATCAATTATGCATATATTTCTGTCTGGTCTGCATCAACACTACAGTTAGAGGCGTGTCAAGTCTACTCGATATTTACATCAAGTCAAGTTAATAGCGAGTCTTAAAATATCTCCAAAAACATAGCACCGGGTAGAAGATGAACTTCAACAGGTGCATTTATTTAATATGAGTTGAGTGTATGTTGTGTCAAGATCGATTCCAATGTAAATAAGGGACAGATACTGCTTCCTGAATCACTATAAAAGTGACAATTTTGCCGTTGCGGGAACTAAAGGAATACATTTATCGGGTTCAGGATGTCACATTTTCTCTTTATTGTATTAATAATACATAAAGACGATCATGTCGATGAATGGTGATAAATCCGAAATAATCGCGCGCACTTTGGCCTTGGAGCTGTCATGTAACGAAGAGGTAAAAGTTACTGTTGAAAATTTACAAATATTAGTTTGCATTTAAATAATAAATAAAACGATAATAAATTGCATAAGTATTGAGAAACATGATAAAAGCTAATGATTTATTTTGTATTTTTTAAAGATAACATAAATAGATAGTAAAAAAATATATTATCTTATTTTTTAAATCACTAACCGTAATGATCCGGTTGTTTGCAGAATTATAATTTACCGCAATTACTGATAGATTACGTCTATACAATTTCCTATATTCATTAGAATGGAAATATATGCAATAGATCCTTTGTTACTGTATTTATTTCTTATAAAATACAATATCATTAGTGGTTGCTTAAGTTATATAAACTTAAGCCGGTTAAATAATAAGGTTTCTTCAAGGTTATCATAAACGCCAATTTTAATAATAATCAGATTTTTATTTATAGATTTACTCTTTAACTTGTTAAACTAATGTGATTCGGAGTAGAGTTCCAATAACATTTATAAATGTTATACGCTTTTTCATTATTGTCTTTTCCAGTTTGACCGTTGCATTTACCGATGACCGTTTTTATTTCTTCAGCTGTTAAATCCCCGGATATTTTTGCTTTTATAACAGTTTCTTGCAAGTCACCACTTTCATTCATAAATCCAACCTTTTTAAAGAAACAAAATACGAATTCGGCCACTTTGGGATCATCTACAAATTCACCTTGACGACTTTTTTGAATTGCTTCCGCGTTTGCACCTGTTGCAGCTAAGCAATCTTTAAAATATCCTTTTACTTTATTTTTTTGTTCTTCGGTTAAACACTAAAAAAGTTTTATTTATATTAGAAAATATTTCAAATTTACTTTTATTGAACTTACCTGAACCGATGCAATAATTAAACAGGCACAAACGATTAAAATGAAGAATTTCATTTTTTTTTTGGTTGCGATATCTGCAGGTGTGTATTAGATATGTTTAAAGTAAAGCAAGAGTTTGATAGTCTTTTATAGTGATCGGAAGGTCGTAGATGATGGTAGGTAAAGAACTAAGTCCAAAGATCGACGTGTTAGTTTCTTATGAAATCAAGGTCGCGTAATTTTTTTTAATGTTATTGTTATTAATGATACTCTTCTCTTATTATTATTTTTTCTCATTTTCAATACTAAATTATTTTGGTGTTGCAATATTTTATTCAATTATTACACGAAATATTTTGGGGACAGGTTATAATTTATGATTAGTAAGCAAATTTAGCGAAAATAGCTGTTTTTTTTGCGAAAAGAGATTTAACTTTTGATTTTGAATAGTAGAAGAAGAAATGAATTTATATTTATACCTGAGGTAGAAACGACTAAAAAAGTTATTGCCCAAACGATACAATGTTATTTGGATGTTCATCGGAACATTAAACAGTCATGGAAAGAACATGTTAATCAAATAAGAAATAGT